AGATACCTTGCTGGTGAATTGTATTCTGATGACAACTGCATTCGCAGCAACATCACATATCACATTTTATCTCAACAAGAAATGTATTGCCCCCTGTTTCTCGCTCTCTGGTTTTGAGTATGATCACAATTGAAAAAGGGTTAGAAATTTCTCACAAAGCACAACAGAACACTGATAACTGGCTGATGCTATCTCCAGGCTGTCTTTTCTCTCTTCTCTCTCTCTCTTTTGAGCAGACAAGATTTTCCCTCAATGAGCTGATGACAGACTAATATCTCCAGATTGATTGCTCACCCCCCACAGACCTCTTGAAATATTTCTACCCTGGAAAGTTGAAGATCAAAAGCATAGTTTTTTTTTTTTAAAAAAAAGGACACAGAACTGAAAAAGCCATCATAAAGAAACTACTCCGATTTCAGTCTGGTGATGAACAGGCTTGTTAAGCATTTTGAGAATTGGCAGCCTTTCCCATCTAATATCCAGACATACTTTTAAAAAGAATTTCCATAATGAGTGTCTCTTTCCCCATCAGAGGAGATGGAGTATTTTCTGAAAAAGTTCTGCTAGGCAGTGATGTTAAACACTCGATTACATGCAGCAGCACAGGATACATGGAGTACAGCTGACTCAACAGCTACAGGGGATTTGGGTAAGTGTCCTTCATGTAAGCCACTTAAAAATGGTCCAAGATCTTTTCGGTTAGTCTCAATGGATGTGTACATTCCCCCCAAGTATCCTTTGTATCACTTGTCAGGCATTAAGGGTTCATGGGTAACTCCTGTTGAGTTGTTGGACGTTGATTATGGGCATGGAGAAGCAAAGTTCTGTCAAAGTCCCAGTGTGAGAGGAAGTGTTCATTTTTTTTTTATCCTGGTTTGTAGTTGTTGAAATCCAGCTGCACATTGTTCTTTTGATCTGAGAAGTGCACTAGGACAGGAAATTGTCTTAGGATGGTGAAGTAGATCTAACACAAAACTTTGCAATTGGTTCCATGAAGCGGAACAGACAATCTTACCCGGCTAATGGTGTCAGTCTAGCAAGTTCGCACAATCAACTCAGTAAGAGATGCAAATGGGGAAGTTAGATAAGGGAGATTTCTTATCAGGATTCCATTGCAACTGAAGGGATTAATTCAATGACTGGAAAAGTAATCTCAAATTGTTGACGTGAAGACCGGACATTATTTTTGTTTCTCTAAAATGGCTATGCATTTCTGAGTGAGAAATAAGTTGGCTTTGAAATAAAATCCTTTTTTGGTTATTGACGTAGTTCAGAACAGCATGCAGACATTAATAGTTAAATGTATTCTGAGAAGGTTTTCATCTTCCTCTGAAGATAACCAAAGTGGGCATACAATCCCACTTACTATTACTCTCAATCTGAGGATGTATTATAGTGAATGGCACATATTTTCCCTTTTTCCTCTCAACTAGATGATTCCCAAAATTGTTTCCAGTATGACTTCAAAGTTTCTTTGAGTGAGAGTCAAAGTACATAAAGGAATCAGTTTTCAATTTCATCATAAAATTTACCTCCCCGCACTGAGTTTTTAAATAAAAAAACTGTGGGAATTGTGAATTTAAAGGCTTAGTACTCTACTGGCATTTTGTGTGCTTACTTAATGAAATATCAGATACCTTATATACCCAAAGGTGTATATATAACTTTTCAGGATTAGATAAGCTTGAATTATACTGCAACCAAATAGCACATTTCTTTCAGGCAATTTCTTTTTCTGAAGAAATGAAATCAGGAATGGTTCTAAGCGATAAAGGGATACTACCTTTATTTTAAAGCTGGAAGTGAGAAGCTACCATATGATCTAATTGCTAATACCTCCAATCATATGTGAACAATTTATATTTATATGTTCACTTATTTGTTTTATCCCTCTATCATGGGAGGCAAGGCTGGTGTCAACTCAACATACCGGTACAACCTTCTGCCATCTGCCCCATGGAATGCATTGCAGAGTGAACTGTATTAGGCCCCATCATGGTACCTATTTTAGGTGGTTGGTGAAAACTTTGGTTAACTTTGTAATTTTTAATTGGATTAGCTTTATGTATATTTGTATGCTGGAGGAATTTGCTAAATTGGTTGTTTATTGTTTTGTGTTTGATTTGTTTTGTTTTAATGTCATTATTATCTCTTGTTAGCCACCTTCAGTCTCTTTGGAGAATACAACAGGATAGAAAATTTCATAACTGAATAAAGTATTTATTTATTATTCCGTATTGATTCTTTCCTCATAACAAAAGTTCTCTAGTCCACCCTCTGCAAGCGTATACAGGTTAATTAAACCCAAATGATATTTACTTTGATCTGCATTCACATCTGGAATATGGGAATATCCTATAACATGAAGCTGCCTTCTACTGAGATCATTGATCTATCTAGTCCATGGATTGACTTCTCTGCAAGAAACTGAGCTTCCCTTCTGACAGTGGGGAGAAGATTTTGCTCTGCAGAGATCATGAGGATTATACTAGGACCATCTGTATGCATTAAGCAACATGCTCACCAACATGTTATAGTTTCCCCTCTCAGAACTCACAAATGACACAAGATTCAGAGGCAACTTATTTTTCAGAATGGAGTTAGAAGACAGAATTGCACTGCAACAACTCTGTTTTCTCACAGCTGGAAATAAGCTGCTCATTGCAAAATTGAAGAAAAATTGTTTCATTAGCATGAGTCACAGATGCATAGCTTTAAAAATAATAATATTAAAAATCACTGCTGTTATGAAAATTGTGTTATTTGCTCTTTGAAGAGTAGATGTGTGCAACCAAACAAGCCGCTTATTAGCAGTTAATTTATAAAAATAAACATATCACATGCAGTGTTGGAAAAGGGTCAAAGTGAAATCACATAGGGAATCAAGGCTGCAATCCTAACTACACTTAAGTGGGAGTAAGTGTTATTGAACCCAGTGGAACTTATTCTGATTAAATATACCAAGCATCTTGCTATTAGTCTTTCAGAAACTATGCAGAAATCTCTTTGTCCTTGTAAAATTCTTAAAAGTTTGTGTAATTATCATTATTTAAAGAAGGATGGTTCTCCATATTATTAAATATCCCAAAGGAGCATAACTCAGCAAGTTATAAAACTATGAACAGTTCAATAGTTTCTGGTTGTCTTGCATGCATTTGGTGTCTGTTAATACTTGAGGGAGTGTAGTGGACTTCTATCCTGGTTACTGAAATTTGTGGCAAGGCTTCTGTCTCATTCCATTAGGAAAGGATTTATAATCTCTCCTTCAAATAGATATTTCAAAGAATCTACTTGCACCTCTCATTCTTGAAATTGAAATGAACTGCACTAAAATTGAACTATTTTCATACTAGTTAGTTACACTGAAACCTCACAATTAGAGACCTCAGGTTATACATATTTTTGAGCATTTATAAGCAGCCTTCTTTCTGATTGAGTCGTGATATGATTCTGAAACAGCTAGATAGCCAACTGGTTATAATGCTATTATCACATTATAATATATGCTTTTTGGAATAATCATTGGATACAACTGAATAAACTGGAGAGTCTTTAGTGAAGGGAAAGCAATAGGTGCTGGCACAAATGTCCCAAATGTCGTACTTCATATTTGATCAGTGGCTCAGCGCCACTTTTCAGATTGTTAAATGCTGTAGGAACGATTGCTTTGACCGCTAAGCCTCGCCATAGATTTGTTCCAATGTTATTTTAATAATACAGCATCACAGAACCAAAAAGCTTGCTGATAATGAACATGAGCATTTATCCCATTGATACAGCAGACAAAAATATATAGGAAGAAAAGTGATAGCCACAGTTGCATATCTTGCAGCTGGAGAAGCCTGAATTTTTGTGCCACCTAAAAAGAAACAAATGTAACAAAAACAAGAGGTCCCTTTTGAATCCGAAGGACTTCAATGTGAGCAAAAAGGAAGTGCAGAATATAATCCATAGCTATGATAGTCAAATACTGGCAAGTAGAACATATGTTTACATTTTGGCATGTAAGTGGTATGTAAATTAAAACAACAACAGCAACCACCACCGCTGCCTAGAGGAGGGAGGGATGTAGTCCAGTAGTACAGCATCTCCAGGGAGAGACCCTTAACCCAAGACTCTGGAGAGCCACTTACAGTCACTGTTGATGGTACTGAGTTACATGGGCCAATGATCTGATTCTCCAGAAGGGCACCTTCCAATGTTCCTATGCTTTGCACACAGAAGGTCCTGGCAGAGCAGGGGTTTTGCATGCATAAGCTCCCAGGTTCATTCCCTGGAATTTGGCAGGTCTGGGAAACTGCTGTTTGAAAACCTGGTAACCTGCTGCCAGTCAATGTAGACAATTCTCATCTGAGCAGACCAGTAGCTTGACTCAGTTTAATGCATCTTCCTATGTTGTGTTACTAGAACAAGCTATTAATGTCAACAATCTATTTTGGGCGGCACGATGAGACTCCTACCTGGATATTATGCACACAATGTGGCACAGAAGCCAGCACACTTACAGAGCAATCCTATACATGTGTACTCATAAGTCCTCTTACTGTGCTCTGTCAGGCTTCTTCCCTTGCCTAGGTTCACAGCCTGAAACCCAACTGGGAAAACAGTACGGGGCTCTGTGATGTATAGTTTAAGCACAAAAACCCAGCGGAGAACCTTGGAAGAAAAGGAGTTCAAAGCTGTGTCAGAGCACAAAGAACGCAATGAACTGAATACAAGAGGCATGAAAATAATGCCCTCTCATTTAGGCACAGGGATGTAAGCACCAGGAGAGACATTCTATGCCATGAGGTGGGTTTCCTCCTGGCGAGTCTTTGTTGATCAGCTATTCTTTCATCCATAGACCTGTTGCTTTAAAATCAGGCAAGATGGTCAACTTCACAGCGGATCCTTGTTATTTCAGACCTGATCCAATGATCATGAAACAATCACAATAAGTATCTCTGGTGCAGTAAATGGGGACACAGAATAATCGCCTCATGTTTTCCTTAGGTTTTACAATGGAACGAGCATGGTTGCTGCTCCTGCTGACTGCAAAGTTTCTCACAGTGACCGCGCAGTTCAATGGATACAACTGTGATGCCAACCTCCACAGCAGGTTTCCTGGTAAGTGTTAATTGAAACATATTAATTATAAGTCCTTTGTTAGCTTGTTTGTAGAGACCACAAAGCTTTAAAGTAAATGAAGCATTTGGAACAAACTCCTCATTAACTAACTAATGGTGAGTGAAATTCCTCTGAAGTAGCACAGAGCTTGCTACCCATGGGCGCAGCTACCCATAATAACAACAGGGTTTCATCCTCTTTCGTGAAGGCTGAGTTTTGTGTGTTAATTCACTATGCACAGAATACTTGCACAGATTGCTGTTGACAATATTTAAAATGGATTTTCTTTCTTTCTAGAAGTATAGGAAGCGATTTCCTTAGGCCCAAACAAGATATGGCATCATTCAAGCAAGGTTTATTTTTTATAGAGTAAATACCTAATGTGCCACCTCCCTGATATGGATTGGGATTGTAGCAGAGGAATGTGTGTGCCAAAATGTCACCTAGCCCTATCAGGATTTCAACCTGAATTTGATTTCCCCATGGCTGCTATTTAATCCTAAAACCCAAAAAACCTCAACCCACCTGTTCACGCTGACTATAGTTAGCAAACTACAGTTTCCATGATTTTTGTGTTGGGGGTGGGTAGCCCAAACTGGTATGATACTGCTTTATATGCATAGTGCAGAAGGAGGTCCTTGTCACTGTTCAAGGACACATTCTAACCAGACAAAAGCACTCAAGAAGGACACAGAGCAGGACAAGTGAAGATTGTGGTTTGGGGAGAGATTAGAGCATTGAACAGATTAGACCCTTGCTAGAGATTTGCTTCCTTTGCTTTAGTGAAAGTAATAGATCTTATCAGGGCTTTTTTCAGCCGTAACTCGCTGGAACTCAGTTCCAGCACCTCTCAGGTGGGCATCATTGCCATTATAAGAGAACAAGGGACACAAGGGAGGTGTTCATGGTGAGTTCTGGCACCTTTTTTTCTAGAAAAATAGGACTGGATCTTACCAAAAGGTACAACGCAGGTAGTTGCCTTTAGTATGTATGAAACAGACGTGTTTCTGATTCTTCTATTACGTTATGTAAATAGGAATAGTTTCTTCTTCTTCTTCTTCTCCTTCTCCTCCTCCTCCTCCCTTTTCAAAGCAGCCAGTTCCTAAGCATGCTTTTTCCTTTATCAAACTAAGTATGAAAATAGAGTCCAGATTATGTAGATATTGGTCTCTGTAGACAGAATGTTTGATTGTGATTGATGCCCACTGAGCTCTATGCACCATAGTAGGCAGAAGTGTACCAGTAGCATTCTTGTCTGGATGAGGCTGGACCAGGAAGATGCTCTCGGAATGTGACTAGAGTAATGCACTGCACTCTGGTTGACTCTGAAAAGTGTTCAGAAATGTAAACTGCTCCAGAATACAGTGACAAGGTTGTTAACAGAAGATACTATATTCAACACATATTAAAAGATCGGTGTAGGTTATCAATATGTTTCTAAGCTTGCCTTTGAAGGGATTAGGAGATGAATATTCGAAGGATCATTCATCCAGGTCTTCATTGCAGGCCTTGCTTTGGGTGCCCCCTACTTTGTGGTTATGTTGCTAGGGCATTTTCAATGGAAGACCCTCCCCTGAAAGGTCAGATTAGCATCTGATTTTTTTAAAAAGAAGTTTCTATAACCTTTTAATTATTTGTGATAGAATTGGTTGAAATTTCCACCTACGTTTGCACCCTTTGAGACCATGAATCCTGCTGCAGTTCCAAAAGAGTTGTTTTCTTGTAAGCACATCAATTGCAGTTTTAGGGTGGGTTAAAAAGGAACTGCTTAATATCCTGTGGTGTTTTGTGGGCAATTTGCTAACATTTAGGACTTGTACTGCACCTCTTCCTTTCCCTCAAAGGTTAACATGTTATGCACTAACTCCCTCTTGAGGGGTAATAAATAGTGGTGTTCAATATAAGGAGATTGTCCTGATGGTGCAAGTATTTCTTTCCTGAAGGAATGATCTCTCATCTCCTACCTCTGCATGCTGTTCTGAGGGTTCACCTGATCCTCCAGAAAAGGTGGGGAGAAATGGTGTTTCTGGAAGGAGGAGAGGGTGAATAAAGTTCCATTGCATGAGCAGGAGTTCTTCCGGTAGCTTCCAACCAGGACTGGCTGGTTGAATCTGGCCCATTATTGATTTGTTTTCACCAGAAGTAGTAGCAACACAAGAGTATACCTGGGAGTCACTCTTGAAGTATGATTGGAGAGATGGCATTCTTCACCTGCTTTTTCACTTATTTGATGAGACTTCTGCCTGAGTGGTAGCAGCTCAATATTTTGTTTAGTATGTAATGAGGATCTCACTAAAGATATAGAAAGGGGCTGGAGAAAACTTGTTTTTCAATATCAGATTTTCAATGCTGTGTTCAAAAATATGCACATTTACTTAAATAAATAAAATGGGGTTACATGTGAATGTTATGCTCAACTTTGCATTTCATAATTAAGCCCATTAATAGATGCACTGGTGGACCTGGCACTGATTTATAACCAATGAGGTGCCCTCTAGAAGGTGCCCTCTAGATATTGTGAACTACAACTCCCATAATCTATCATCATTGACTATTCTAGCTGGACTGATGGTAGCTGTAGTCCAAAATACCTGGAGAGTACCACATTGGCTAGTTAGCCTAGAACCAACTCCATGATTACAAATAGGAAACTGGAACAAACATTGTGCAATAACATTATGAACACAACATTGTGAGTTATTTCCTTAAGTTTTCAGAAGTGTTACACCTATTTCTTCATGCTTATTTTGTTAGTGGTAGCCAGTTTTTAGGAAGGTGTCTGCCAAAATAGGCATTTATTGCCTATAGATAATTTCAGATCTTTATTTTGAACAAGTGGTCACAGTTACTGCCAAGCCCACAAAGGGATCAGCAGCTAATTTGCCACCATGGGTTGCATTTGGAAAGACTGTAAAAATAAAGCTGATTCTAGACTTCACCTAATGTTTCTGCTGGTGATTTAATGCATCACAAAAAATATAGTTCAATCATGCTTCTACAACTTTATTGATTCAATTAAAGGGACAATAATACTGGTGATTAATTTTTATCATCAAATTAGCAATAGTGATACATAGTGTATGCTTGGGGATTCCAAACACTTATGGACTATCCTTTCCATCATGCTGTAACCTTTGAATTATCATGAACATAGGAAGCTACCTCATATCTAGTCAGGTTATTGGTCAATCCAGCTCAGTAATATCTACACTGATTGGCAGCAGTTCCTCAAGTTTTTTGACCTGGCAGTAGCGGCTGGACAGTCAGGGTGGGCATTGTGGCATTGCTTACTTGGCTTTAAGAGAGAGAGCCAGTGTGGTGTAGTGGTTAAGAGTGGTGGACTCGTAATCTGGTGAACCAGGTTCACGTCTCCACTCCTCCACATGCAGCTGCTGGGTGACCTTGGGCCAGTCACACTTCTCTGAAGTCTCTCAGCTCCATTCACCTCACAGAGTGTTTGTTGTGGGGGAGGAAGGGAAAAGGAGATTGTCAGCTGCTTTGAGACTCCTTAGGGTTGTGATAAAGCGGGATATCAAATCCAAACTCTTCTTCTTCAAAACACCATGTGTCTCTGCTGGTTACTGAAAGGGAGATAGGCAAGTCAGCAGAAAGCTCAGTGTTACAGTGGTGCAGCCAATCTGATGATGTTGTTGCTGCTGCGCTTGCACCACACTGAGCTCCCTGTTGTCTTGCTCCGCTACTTCTCCCTCTCAGTAACGGACAGAAATATGTAGAATTGGAAAACCAGGTGAGAAATCCCACACCACCCTGCTGGCCGCAACTGAGATGGAAATCCTGAGTGGATGACACTTGAAAGCTGGCCTGTGAGCACAATCCTGATACTTACTCATTCACTACCATATATACACAGATCAAATATCTGAACGGGATTAATGCATTTAAATCTACCCTGCATTTCCATTTATTGTTGGTGATATTTTAGTCCATTGCACTGTGTAGGTACATAAGAACATATTGTCACATGGCACCCCAATCTCCATGAGCAGGGTGAGATTCCAGGGGTTTCAGGTGCTTAGCCATGGTTTGTGTTTCCTTCAGAAATTAGGCATAGCAGAGACTGTAGTGTCTTCATGATATATGGTTTTATATGCACACATATACAACCTGCACCTAGATGGAGGAATTGCAGAGCATGCACATCCTATGAGGGTCTGGTTTCCCCTTTAAGGGTAGAATTGGTTTCAAATGACAGCAGAAAGCCACTCTCTTAGTTCCAGCTCACATGGAGTTCTGCCCATCTATCTTCTTCTCGCTGCTAACTCCATGGACCTTCCCCCAGCCACAATATTCAAAGTTGAAACCCTAAACCTTGCCTCTGCCCCTGCCCACTAGCACCCAGCAAAGAAGGAGCCCAACTCCCCTTTGCCTGGCAATCTTCCTCTCTGATGGTTTCTTTAATGGGTTATCACTAGCCTTCATCTGCTGAACTGGCTTGACTCATTAGCCAGCGGATTTCCGTCTTTGGCAAAGTTTAATCAAACCTTGATTAATTCTAACTTTTACTGAATCCAGGAATTAGGAGGAGGATATGACACCAGGAATTTATCACAATCTGCCCCCCTCTAAAAAACCCATAACAGTATGATGCTGAGCCAGATAGCTGTTCAGACCAACCAGCAATGTCTACTCTGACTGGCAGTCACTCTCCAGGGTCTTAGGCACAGGTCTCCTTAGCCTTTCTGATATCTAATTCTTTTAACTGCAGGTGCCAGGGAATGAACCTGGCAGCTCTTGAATAAAAAACATGTGCTGTGCCACTGAGTTATTGCTCCTTCCTTTAGGGTATTGTAAGAATGGATTCTAGGATTGATACTACCTCCCACAGAAACCCATTATGAAGCTGATCTAGAGACAATTGCCATTTCATGCAATATGTAGAAGGAGCAGTACATTTACTTTAGACATTCAAGTCTCCTTATGTTGTCAAAAATGTAGCATGACAATTCATCCTGGCAGTCCTAGTGGTAATAACTAACAGTTTTCCGGCACTTTAAGAGTGCTAAATCATTAAGAAGATCTAATAACTTCCCCTTTATTTAAATTAATGATCCATGCAGTGGAGCACAAAGAATAATTACAACGTGTAAAGAATTAACAAAGGCTCCGCTATGTTCAACAATATTTACCCCATCTTACGGGCACTGAACATTGCTCTAACACTGCAGTGGTTGGCTCTTGATTATGATGTATTATGTTTACAACTGGAGTCATAAATATATCCAGGAGTCATAAATATATCCAGGATTTCAATACATTTTAAGATATTTTCAGTCATCTTACTTTTCAGCAGGACTTCCACTGTTCATTTAAGACAATACTTCAGTGAAAATACACATTTGAGAATTCTTTAAAAACTAGCTCAAATTCTTGGTATCCACTGAGCATGAGCAAACTGTATTGGCAACCCAGAAGACTTGCACAGCTTTGACATTTCCCCTGCTTAATAGAAGTCATCTGCATAACAAGTTGCTCTGAAACTCAAGTGAGATCCAAACACAATCTGCAGTGCAACATTATAGCACTCATTCAGCCAATCAAAGTCAATAGCCTTGATATGCACGTGAAGCACAGTATATGTGAGATCTGGTTGAACATTTTATTTTGTGCACAACCAATCGAACATTGGGGCTGGATCAATACTGATCTGTAAAAACCCTATATTAAAAAACGTAATATAGCTCTCAATGCAATTTTGCATTGATGACGGATTGCTGCTCTATAGCACCGTCTGGTGTAAATTTTTATAATGCATTTTTAACATAACTGACCAGTGTAGATTAGTTTCTGGAATGCTTTGGACAATCTTGGCATAATCCTTTGCTCTTAAACAAGGCAAAAGTATGAGAGTACGATACTCCAGCCATCTTTTAAGGAGCAGTTCCTATGGATGAGCCCTCATGACATCTGCTCCCGCACCTGGAATAAGAGACAGGACATATACAGTGTTCGAAACTCCCATTGTTCTAGGCGCATTTTGCGACAGGGAATTTCATTAGTGCAAGCAGTTTCTGAGCTCTGGGTGCAGTACTGTGCCTAAGATTTCAGGCTGAAACTGCAGAGTGGAAGGAGGACCTTTTTCTGTCTCCCCACTTCCAGCTACTCTCTGAAGACTGTACAACAGACCCTCTTAAGAATATTAGGGGGGTGGGCAGGAGAAGGACTAATCCATGTGAAAAATGAACATAATATTTTAGCTGCATTTCATTCATTTTCAGCTTTGTATTCTTGTTATAAAAAAAGCGTGCCTAGACATTCCGTTGTTGCACCCATAACCTAGGTTTAAGGTGCCATTTAGCTCCTAGCTTTCATATCTCAGTTTCTAACACTGGACATATATCATTTGACTGAACTGGAGCAACAAAACTGAACTGCAGAGCAGACAAATCATTGGATGCTGGCAGGAGCCACCTAACAGAGCTCAGCTCCAGCTATGGACAAGCTTAACCTTGCTGCCTTGCTCCTGCTTCCAAGCTATGGGTAAGCAGAGTCTTGCTGCCTATCCCTGCTTCTCAGTATCTGCCACCTAAGGCAGCCACTTCACTCTGCCTAATGATAGAGCTGGCATTGCTTGGAGAAGCATGACATTCAGCTAAGGATGTACATTCAAATGAGCATCTGCATCGGGATCACAGAGGAGAAAGAAAGGTGTTTATATGAATGTTTTCTCTCTGAATAATGCAATGCTGAGTGTTATTCTTAAAATTACAGCTGTAATGACTAGTGGGCACTGCTCTCAAGTGAAGCTGATAAGGATTAAGGCATTAATATAGAGGAACCAAGGATTACTATAATATTTTCATAGCATTTGCTGATTTATTTTCTTTTATTTCTAATAGTTCCTAATAATGTGTGTATCGTTTTCTATCACCTACCTATTCCACTGTGCTGCTTGGAATTCTAAATTGCTATTAATAGCTGCTGTGTACACTTCTGGAGCCAAATGAATTGGGTGCTCAGAATACTTGCTCATCTGCATCCTACATTAAATGAGAATATCAGCGAGCAAAATGTGAGAAGAAATATTGTTTCCAAGGGCTAATTTTTGTGTAAAGGCTGCATAACGGTTCCTCGCAAGATTTAAAAAGTGCATATACTACATCATATCGGGTTGCTTGAAAGCTTTGAATGCCCCATTTAATGAAGCCAGCTTTTTCATTATGATTCTTCTACACCTAACCTTTTGTTCATGTAATGCTGCATTAAATGTCTGCTGTTTTGCATGGACCTTGGAATGGAATGTGATATGCAAAATACGAGTGGTATCAATTTATTGCCACATTAAAGCTTTTTGGGGTGCATTTGCATGTTCACCATGCTCATCCCCTGAGGGGAAAAAGGCCCTGAATGTGTGTGAGAGGGGAGAGTCTCTTGTTCCTTTCCACAAATGAAGGATGTATAAAAATGGTAAAACAAAGTCACAAAGCAGGCAAGGGATCGTGTGTGCATGTGTGTATTCTAGTTGCTGCCCTATCATGCATGAAGTACCATGTGATGCTCCTAAGGTATTAAGATAAACCAATGGGTCTTTGCTTTGAATTTTGACTTTTACAGTGTTGTAGTTGGTTAGGGTGTAAGAGAGCGGTGTACCGGACAGAGAACACAGGAAAGGGTGGCTTCAGGACTTTTCAGAGAAGGTACAATGATGTAATCAGCTGGGGCAACAGGGTAATCGGTGGACCATCCTTGTGCTTGCCAGTGAATGTGATGATAAGGAGGCTTTCATGTTTTTCAGCTATTTGTGACAGATTAGCATAGAGGAAGTCAGAGAACGAGGGAAATTATCAGGCCTTTCCTTTGGTAGGGTTCCTACTCCAAAGCCGTGGCTTGTATGGTAATCTTTTCCTTGCAAGATTGCTTCCATTTCTAAAAGCCAGTTTCAGCAGACTGAATATCTTTTGTTAAAGCTCAGGGTTTTCTACATGCTTATTCTCTAAATATCTACAGTCATACCTCGGGTTACAGAAGCTTCAGGTTGCGTGTTTTCGGGTTACGGACGCGGCGAAACCCAGAAGTACTGGAACGGGTTACTTCTGGGTTTCGAGCTCATGCATGTGCAAAACCACTAAATCGCGCTTTGTGCATGCGCAGATGCGCCGTATCGCAACCCGCACGTGCGCAGACACAGCACTGAGGGTTGTGAACGTGCCTCCCACACGGATCACATTCGCAACCTGAACATCCAGTGTATTCCATGACTGTTGGCTGATCCTAATAAATTGTCTGCTATGTATTGATGTTTTGGGGTGTGATGTACACCAGGGCTGGCCCAAGGCATTTTGGCACCTGAAGTGGACCCCAGAGTGGCATGCCCCTCCCTGACAGAGAAGAAGGGATGAGGGAAGATCTATATCAGGAACAAGGGAGAAAGAAAGATGGACATCGGGAGCTGCTACCCTAGTGAATCCTGCCACCCAAGGCAGTCCAATTACCTTGCCCACATCACTGGTGCAGAGCATACCTCTTTAGTACTGGTACCCACCCTTAATGGGAATTCTTTGTCAAAGGAGGTCCATTTGTTTCCACATGAATTGCTTTGCTTTTAGATCACAAAATATAAATATATAAAAATATATTTCAATAACTTCAATGTGTTCCCCCCTTCACTTTTCATTTCAGCGGAACGAGATATCAGTGTCTACTGTGGAGTACAGGCTATTACTATGAAGATTAATTTTTGCACTGTCCTTTTTTCTGGTTATTCTGAAACGGATCTGGCATTAAATGGGAAACACGGGGACTCCCACTGTAGGGGATTTATAAACAACAACACATTTCCGGCGGTGGTCATTTTCATAATCAATCTCAGCACTTTGGAGGCCTGTGGGAATTCTTTAATGGTAAGATGCGATTCTTTTGAGGCTACGCAGTGAGATGGAGAAGAATTTCAGTTCAGTTTGCATTTTAGTTTGAATGTAACTAACTCCCAGCTACCCAAACAATATGCTATTCTTTGAAAGCCACACTTCTCCGAATTCCGTGAATTAGTAAAAACACCAGACAAAAATGCATTCTGTTTGCAAAAATGTGTGTATTAGGCAAAATTGCATTAAAGGTGTGTATGTTAGAAGAAGTTTGCACTGAAATGCTGATAACTGTTAATGAGAAATTTTATTTTATTTTTAATTGCAAACTGATGCATTGAGCTTGGAAAAATAAGAAACGGGAGGAAACAAAAACTGGCAGACCATGCTTGGTTACATTTCATTGCTAAAAAGAGAGAGAGATGAAGTATGAAATAGAACATACCGCACAAGTGAGGGCTGCAATTTGCAAATACAAATGCCTGAAGTTTAAGAATGAGCAGCTCATTTTTTTTGAAGATTGATATGCAGTTATTGCTACAATCTTAAGTCTTACTCTTCCACTTCTGAATAAAATGTTTAGTTGTAAATGAGCCAACACATTTGCTGTAATGTTTTGTGATAATGGGACTGTTTGCACCACCCTCATCATTTCTGAAGGTGGAACTAAGCATAGGGAAATGTGTAGCTGACGTTGTAAGAAGCATCTCCTCATCCCCTCTTCTCTTGTGGTGTCATGTAAAAACACAGAACATGGCATTTCACCAGGTATTCCCATCCCCACAACTAGCATCCAGTGAGATGGATCTGGAGGGAAAATGTGGAGGGTGATGGCTTAGTCACATTCCTTCTGTACCCTCATGTATTTTCATCCAGTAAATGTTGGAGTTGTGAGTAGCCACAGAGATAGTGCCTTTGTGACTTTTTATTTATATTTTATTTATTTATATATGTTTATTTAATGCCTAGTATTCTGAAAATATTCTGGGAGCATGGGAGATTAGAAGAAGAATTATGTGCATGCCTGAGCTATGTGAATCTGATCATTGTGCTGAAATCTTGCCTGCATCTAATGATGGTTGTCACAGGAAGTGCTTTGACACTGTGCTTCTCCATCTGCTGTGTCTCTCCGCTGAGATGAGCTCACAAACTGACAGCTGGATAGATAGGATCAAAGTCAATGAGTTCTTCATTCCTTAGCTGGCCCTTCAAAGAATTCTAGCAATTCCAGTGTTTTTCTTGCAGTAATGATAATGATACAGCAGCAAGTGAAGCAGTACAAGGTCAAATGCTTTGTGAGCTGGAGTTCACTGCAGAAGATGTATAACTGAGAGGGGACAATTAAATGGTTTATAAGAAAGCTAATTGAAATGAAAATTCTATTATTTGCATATGCAAATATTCTGACACTTGGGTGTCACGGCAAAGGGCTGATGTTAGTGTGCAAGACTAAGGGCTGGGTCATGCCATCCATTTTCTTCCATGTAAGCATATCTTGCTTATCTCCAGCTTTGAACTTGTGTAAAGAACAGACATAATGACTATAAATAGAGTCAGTAGTAATTCATGGCAGTAGGGATGTTGTGGGCTACACAACAGAGTGGACTAAGTCCAACAAGACCAAATACTTTTGTGTTCTGCCAAAAGTTCTGGATGCCTAAGGCAAGTTTTTTTTTAAAGGATTCAGATGGACACTGTAGACCACCAAAGTTTCTCTTTAACAAGTATTATTATCAGGATGAGGAAAAGAAGAAGGGGAAATTCAAGATCTTACAAGTCCATCTGCTGCTGGAAAATCCTTTACACTTCTTGGGCAGGCAATGGATTGAACTCCTTACAGGTGATATGTGCAGCATCAATGTTGACAGCAAGGTCTGCACTGAGATTCCTCTGACCCTTGTTGGGCTTGGGACTCATACTACCTGGGAGTGCAGACGACACTTGAGCACCTTTGCCTGGAGTCACCTTCCCATAACCATGTCTAAGTTTTTGTCTGACAAGGTTAGGGGAGTAGTCATAACATATGGCAGTCTACAAAGGGATGAGGCAGTCTAGATATCTCCATGCTATGCTGCTCAACACTGAAAGCACCCAATCTGATTTTGTGCCTTATGACTCACATGGGGATGTAGGTAGCTCTATCTCTAAAGGACATATGGCTCCACCTCTCCCACTCCTTCAGTCAGGTGGCCTTTCTATAATAAGTGCTCATTCTTACAAGCTGTGATTAACTCTTAGAGAGCTCTGCTTTACAACACTGCACTGTTTTAACTACCCAAAAGTGCTAGATCAAGGTCTGCACCTGCGCAACTTTGAGGGCACCCAAAGGGGAAATTTGCAGAGCATCGTACCTAACTCCCCATAATACAATGGTCTTCCAGATATGTTCCAATACACAGTTACATTATTAATGATAGTTCTACAAGGATACGGTTATTCAATAGGTGCTGGCCCTGTTTATGTGTTCATAGAATGTTTAGGGGGAGTGACCATGCATGTACTGGTTCTGACCCAAATACCCCTGTCTCTATTGGTACCCAATGGGACTGACAGGGCAGAAAGCAGAAGCACCAATAGTAGGGGAAGCCAGAGTCATTGGCAGGCAGAACCAACTAATTCTAATTTGGTTCCCATCCACCTTCTTGCTGAATTCTATTCAGGCAACACTGAGATGAAAGAGGAGGGGAGGAAGCTGAATTTTGGAGTGTTAGTGGTCTTATCTTTCACTATGAGTTGGATGAGGGCTCCATTATTTATTATTATTTATCATTTCATTAAGTCTAAGAGGGTTTTCTCCCTCTCCTTATTATCCTCAGTACAACCCTCTGAGGTGAGTTGGGGTGAGAGTTGGTGACTGGTCTAAGGTTTCCCAGTGAGCTTTATGGATGAGTGGGGATTTGAACTCCCAGTCCCTATTCTACCATACTGACACTGGTTTTTCTCTCTTTCTCTGTATTTTTACCAAAAGAATTGAGAAGTCTGGCACTGCCTCAAGTAGCAGTTTGATTGCTTAGAGCAGTTTAGTCACACTCCTGTGACAGAATGCCTCTGGCATCACACTGCAGTGTCATTCTTAGGAGCATTTATTCTTAGGAGAGGGGAGATCTCTGCCCCCATTGTGGCTATTGGTAAAAAGGAAGAAAATATCTCAGTTGTTATCACATTTAAAGGTAACACCATTTCCTTCAAATGCCTGCCACTGGAAGTTTCTGACTATTGCCCCCACTTTTCTGGGGGATACATGGTTCTGTGAAAGTATTGTGGGGGCTCATTTCAGAGCAGACTTATAGATTGGACTATGGTTGTGCAACAAATCACTTTGATATATTTGACAGAAATGGTAGGTAGCTATTGCTCCCATTTGTATCTGTCATAGCATCAGTGGGACAGCAGAATGGGAGGATGGTTGTACCTTTACTGTATGCCTCTGAACACCAGGTGCTGGGAATCACAAGTGTGGAGAGCACTGTTGTCACCAGGTACTGCTTGTGGTCTTCCCATGGTTCATCACTGTGAGAATAGGATGCTGGACTATGTGGGCCTTTTGCAAGATCAAGCATGGTGCTTCTTACGTCCTGATGTAGAGGTTGTGGTGCATCAAATAATTTACAAGGATGATTTCTTAACCTTTAATAGTCATATTTTCACTATTTTAAAAATTCTATTTTCTTATAAGATTGCCTCCCCATAATTCTGTTTTCTGACCTTATCCAACTAGGTAACCTCAGTTCCAGGAATTAATGCCTATGGCAATGTATCAACAGTCCAGATAGGCAATGTTTCGGGATACATAGACACCCCAGATCCACCCACAATAATCAGCTATTTACCAGGACTTCTGTATAAATTTAGTTGCAGCTATCCCTTGGAATATCTGGTCAATAATACACAACTTGCTTCGTAAGTATGAGCATGATTTTGCGAGAAGTGATTATTGTGTGTATCAGGAAGCCTTTGCACTGTATTTATTGTCATTAAGTAGATGGCTGGAGCTTTGCATGGTCGATATGCCCTGTGAACATATCAGATTTCTGATGAAATGCATGGATTCTGGTCATTTCCCCTTCCATAATTAGAAGCGACATCCAGTTTGAGAAGAGGAAAGGAAGAGGATATAGAGAAGGAAAATAATGACAAGAAGGAAAGTATTCCAGGGATTTGGTTTGCTATAGAATTAGCACAGCACTGAAGTCTGTGTTTTAGTGTTAGCTTTCATGATGAAAGTTCTTCTACAATTCCTCTTAAAGATAGAGTAGTACTTGTACATAAGCAAAGAAATATTTACTTTCAATTCTTTTTGCACAGCAATATATTAGTATATGTAACACAAGCAAATGCTATTTCTATGTACTGTATATCACAAGAAGTTATTTTACCCTATCAATTTGCTTCTTAGCTAATTATTTGCCTGATCCATTGTTTCAGCAATGCCCATTGTTTCAAAGCTCTGACGGGGCTTCCACTATAAATTCCGATTTGTAGCAATTTAAAAACACAAGATGGGGGAAAAATACTCTTGGTGGTGAAGTCCAAAACCTGATTTAATAGTGAAATATGGAATTGCAAAAAAATAATAAAAATAGATGATTCCATCAATAATATTTTGCTTTCTAAATCTGTTCTAGATCATCAGCTGCTATATCTGTAAGAGAGAACAATGGCACATTTATTAGCACTTTGAATTTGCTCCTCTACAATGTAAGTATTAAAAAGCAGAAGTTTCTTAAATAAAGCAATGCCTGCTCACCTGCTGGCCGGAGGGAGTGGCGGCTGCCGCAGTGGGGCGATCTTCTGGGGGGTGGACATCACTTCCTTCTTTGCTGGTGGCGCTGACTCCTGGGACTTGCCCACAGTTGCAGCCAGTTGTGGGCAAGCTTGGGAGTGCGGTTTAGTGAGTGGACCAGAGGGAAAACTTCTTTCATTTGGTCTGCCCTCTGGCTATAAAAGCCAGCTACACCCTCTGCTAATGCACCTACCACGACTGACTTATAGAATGCTATAAGTGGGACCAGCCCCTCTATTTCATCCTTTCTCCCTCTGCAATTTCCAACCCATCCAAAATAGTTGGCCAGAATGCCCACTAAGCATGTTCAGTTCTCCTGCGGCTCTTTAGAGTTTTTTTTCATATTCACGTCCTTCACCTGCACTTCTTGAAATCTTGGGGTTCTCCCACAGCTGCCTAGCCTTCCACTTGGGTATGGGTGGTACTGTTTTGGCTATATATGCAATGGTGCTCATAGCCTTAAATTGGAAATATCGGAAATCACGTGTTAGATCCAGTCTAAGATAATTGCATTTGGGTCCCTTTCAAATGAAGGCTTAATTATCATGGATCTTAGTAGGAACTAAATTCAGCTCATCTAGTCTGACTGCATCCCTGGTTTGCAAGAGCAAATCTAGCAGTGAAAAATGTAACTTTAAAAGTTAATTATAATTTTTAATAATGATTTTATTAGTTGCATAACATCATCAGTCTACGTGACACCTTATATCATAATCCTGTGCATGTTTACTCAGCAGTAGCTCCCACTGAGTGCAAAGAGGCTTGATGCCTAAAAAGTCTGCAAGGGACTGCGGCCTTAGAGAGTTCCACAGAAAAATTGGCAAGTCCCTGCTCTGAAGGAGCCTACATTTCTAAATAAACAATGGGAAACAACAGGGGGAGGGAGGACCCTTTGTTAGACAATTGCCTTTAACAAATGTTCACACGTGCTCTAACAAGAATAGTTCAACTGGTGCCTTGTGCCAGGAGTGGAACCAAGCGGGTCCACACACACATCTGTTCTGGTACCGTCCACTCCACAAGGAAGGACTTATTCTGGTTACCCAAACTGTGTCTAAGTCACTGGCATGGTGTAAAATATAACCAACAACTACTGTTGTGGAAGATGTAAGCAACTTCAATAGACCGATGCTAATGATATTTCTTTGTGGTTCTTTTGGACAGTGGGTGGGCTAAAATTTTAAGTACCTCCTCATGACTGCTGATTTTCTCTCTCTTCTTATTAGCATGATAATCAGATTTGAATATATGTAATTGTGTAAACTTGTATTGCATAAACAGGGACATTGGAAAGGAAATTTAAAAGACTTTTACTGGCTTTTATTTATAACAGCAACACTAATCTTCCAACTGTTATTTTTGTGTTGATTAGAAATTTTATTCATCCATTCAAATGTCTGATTTAAAAATCAGCTTTCCATTTCTCAGGCAGCATTTTAGTAAATTACAAATCCTTTTTTTTTTTGGATTATTATTCATGTCATCATGGACCTGGGTTATAATTCATGCAGATGATTTAAAAGTCTGTGCTTTCAACTTGGGTTGTAATGAATGTGCTATAAATATCATAGCAGAATATTTCCAATTGCGTTTAAATGAATTTCCTGTTTGCAAGTAAGTTTTGCTGTCTGACAGTTCAGAGATATGTTAGACTGGAGATGATATTACTTCCATTTTTTTTAAATACTGAGGTTTTTTTGTAAGAAAGTAGAAAGTTTCTTAAAACTTTAGGAACAAAAACCCTTGTATTTAGGGTACAGTGGTGCCCCGCAAGACGAATGCCTCGCAAGACGGAAAACCCGCTAGACGAAAGGGTTTTCCGTTTTTGAGTTGCTTCGCAGGACGAATTTCCCTATGGGCTTGCTTCGCAAGACGAAAATGTCTTGCGAGTCTTGAGATTTTTTTTTCACTTTTCCCTCCCTTTATCTAAGCCACTAAGCCTTTAATAGCCTTTTAGCAGCTAATTCGCTAAGCCGATAAGCCTTTAATAGCCGCTAAACCGCTAATAGCGCTAATCCGTTAAGCCGCTAATAGGGTTGCTTCGCAAGACGAAAAAACCGCTAGACGAAGACACTCGCGGAACGGATTAATTTCGTCTTGCGAGGCACCACTGTATAGGGGAATTTGCTTCAGAAAAGTTCAGTTAAAATGTTCTTCTTAGAACACATGAGAATACATCATATGGGGCCAATCAACATTCCAATCTTGCCCAATAAACACTCCATTGTACAATTTTGCTTTTGTAAGTCATCCTGTACATTGATCCTGTAAATAATATCTTGGAGTGATTTCTAAAAGCAGTCTAAGGATAGTCATAGGAGCATCTTCATCTATGGTGCGAAGCCAGCTTTGCATCATTTTGTTATAGAAATATATTGTGATTCGAGGACCCGATCCCCGCTTGGGGAATCAAGACACAAGGACACAGTATACTAGGTTAATGGGCAAAAAAAGGCCACAACCTTATTGATTACAGCATGTGAGAAGGTATTGGCTTAGACATTAGACCACTGACAATTTGACTCCACCCACTTGGAGAGGGGTGAGTCTGAATGAGGGGTTAACCACCAGTAGGGGGAGCCTGTTGATGCAAATACAACTATAAGCTCTGCCCTGTGTGGCGGGGGGCCATGGCACGACCCCCGGTGACATCAGGGGTAGATCGGGAGCAAATGGCGGGGGAAGCTGGCGCGGCCGCATTTGAGCGGCTAAACCATGCCCCCGGTGCCACTCGGTCGGGTGCCCAATGGGGGGGGGGCGTGGAGCGCCAGCGATGGTGAGAGGGCAGGGGGCTAAACGCCCCCTGCGTGACGCAGGAATCGTCTCCCGGTCACAACCCCTCCCCTCTGGAAGGAGGAGAGGCTTTCCAACAAGTGAATGCTGGATTGCTGAGTTACTGCCTGTGTCAAAGAGGTGTGTTAGCCATCAGTCTTGCTGTTGCCCCATGCCTTGTACATCTGGTGGGCTGTTACCCTTCAAAGAACTACATATGTATTCTACTACCTTCACTTAAAATAAAACCACAAGATTATTTAATTATTTTTGCAAAATTGCTCCCGAGAATGCATGTGGTTGTTAGTGCTGGCATGGGTAGCAGCCAATAGGTGCTCAGCAGAACTATCTTTTCTTCAGCTCAAACTGAACCACACTGAGAACCTACAGAATCACCGCACAGAGAGCAAGGATAGAACTCCCCGTGCATGAGTAAAATCATTATTGAATTGATATCTAAGATATCACAGCATGAATCGTCGTGGGCCAACATGAATATGTTTCAAGATGTAATACTGAATATTAAGCTACTGGATTTTATTTGTAAGCTAGGATCCCCATTTCAGTTTAAGACAACAGTAGCCCTGTACAGTTGTTCTAATCTCCCACAGGATCAGAATCACGTTTGGTGGGATAACTTCTGTAGCGAGCAGCTTTCTTTACTCATGTAGGTTCCTGCACGATTTTGAATCTTGAAGGAGCCAGCAATGGGAAATGGAGCTTGTTTGCCTTTCCTTCATCACAGTAGGATGGAGACATTCCTTTCATTAGGCAGAGTGAGGCAACCACCTTAGGTGGCAACTTCTGGGATACACCAGGGACAACTCTCTGGATGTTCTTCCTGAGCCCCCTGGCCCAGGAGCAGTGCGTCCCCTTTTGCTGCTTGAGGTGAAATGGGAATGGGCTGCTCCCCTCCCCCACTGCTGCCTGTAGCTCTCTTACCTGTGTTGCATGGTGTTGCCCGTGAAGCGCTGGCAGTGGCACTGGCTTTCGGTGAGATCTCACAATATCTTCTTGGGTTTCTGCTGCTTGAGGCAGGTGCCTCACCTTGTCCCAACAGTGGGCTGGGCTTGCCGGCCATAACCTTTTGTTGGATGACAGAGTGTTATGTACCATGTGGCCTGTTCTGCTCCTCAGTATTAGCTTGTTGCTCTCAGATGCAGTGGAAGTATTGAAATAAGACTCAACTTCCAGTTTAGTTGGCTTTTGCATGTGGAAAAGAGAAGGAGCCATCTTGTCATTTGTGTCAGGTAGCAGAAGGTCTTGAACTGGTCCTGCATTATGGATTAGGATGCCTGAATTGGGCTTGCTTTTTTTAACGTATATGGGTGTTGTTCAAGCTTAAAGTTACAGCTCTGGATGAGTGGGTGAATTATTTTTCTTCCTGCTGGGATTTCCACTGAATTCATACATCTGCATTAAGTTTGCCATTGGCTTTATTGAGATTTCTTGGTGAACACGATATGCTCACGAGTAAGGGTTTTGTTAGGGTCAAGACCTTGCTCTGTGAGGACAGTGGTTAATTAAGCATGAATATGAAACATATTCATTTCCATACATTTAAAATTTAATATACTCAAGTCAAACTGTGCTGTGTGTGCATAATGAATTGAGGTACAATTCTTCACCATTACCAGAGGGTGACTTAAATACTTCTAGAGAAAAGCGCAGTCTGAGGAAGAAATGCTAAAACTGTTGTTTAATTCACTTCATTATCCAAAACTTTCTTTTTGCTAACAAATCATTAGTGGTGTAAATTAATAATGCAAGTGCCATCATTATATATGTACTTTAATTAACATTTGACCATTTTTATACAACAGAATGTGATCAAAATCTGAATCACACATACAGAAAATAAAGCAGTGGCAGAAAAACTCTACTAGGAGGAAATAATAAGGTGATATTTTGGCCCTTGGAGGCAGAAGGAAACTGCAGGCAGTGCAATTAAGTTTCACATCACAGGTTTGACTAAAGGGCTATATTCAGTTTCTAGTAGAGTACAAAGGACGCCATGCAAAACCAAGACCTCATTGTTGCCTTAGCTTAGGCCATGACTGAGGAACTTGTGTCTGACCCTATAGATGCTGTTAGACTCCAACACCCTTCAGCCTCAGTCAGATGGCTGATGACAAGGGATGATGGAACAGGAGCCCAAAGCATCTGAAGGACCACCACTGGTGTCTAGGACTGCAATCTTGAGTTGCAATTCTAGACAAATTAACACAGAGACTCAGTGAGACCTGTTCTCAGGTACTTGTGCATAGGATTGCAGTGATAGTTCCATTGGATTCAGGTAGGTAGCTGTGTTGGTCTGACACAGTTGAAATAAATTAAAAAACTAAAAAACTGTCCAGTAACACCTTAGAGACCATCTAAGTTTGTTCTGGGTATCAGCTTTTGTGTACATGCACATTGGAGTCCTTTGTGAGTGGGCTTGTTTTCCAACCAACTTCATTTCTTAAGGTACACAAACCGTGACTGTTAGTGATGTTGGGTGGGGATTGATGGGAGTTGACTTCCAGCAACATCTGGAGGGTTACAGGCTGCCCACCATTGCTATGCCCCTTTACTTGGTATATACCTCTGGACTTAGCGGATATTACTGCTGTGTATAGTGTTTCACTATACAGTTTAATAACTGTGTGCTTATCAACGGGTTTGTGGTATCTAATTATCTTAGGCTTCCTCTTGAATCCTAACTAATGGCAATGGCAGTGGGTTCTGGGGAAATTATTCTGGATAGCTGCAAAAGAGGGAATAATAGGATTAAATTTACTACTACCAACTGAAAGATTGTAGCGTCATCATTCTAATATTAAGCAGAACTCTTTGGCAGATTTTATTTTTTACAAAATGCTGCTAAATTGGATAGAGGGATTATTTCCATGTTAATGTGTTCCACCACTTGGTTTATAGATTCTATATGACACATTTAATGATTTTGTTTTTCTATTCACATATCATGGCTAGTATTTGATTTAGTTTCTTTGCAAATTGTCTGGCACGGCTTGCTGTTGCCACATATCTTTCCACTAGATATGATCTCGATATATACTGACATCCTTTGCCTCCCGTAATCTACAGCATTATTAAACACAGTTCACTCTAAGTGCATTTGGTCATGTTGAATTATGTCTGAGTGCTGATCCACTTTTATGTGGTTCTCGATACATAAAATGAAGCAGTGAAAGGTGAAGCCATTCTCATGCACAAGTCCCACTCATTATTTAAATGATCCCAAGGAAGGAGATCATTTCTGATGTATCAGGGCTAAACTAAGCAATCAGTGGCAAGCTTAGCAAATCTAGGTTTCCACTTCTCTACTGCAAAGGGGGCAGAAGAAATGTGGAAAGGCAGGGTTGCTCAGCTTTCCCTCTGTTGCCCAGTACACCTCCTTGAGAGACATTGTTTCCAGATCTGTGTTTCCTTTCTCAAGTGGGGAAAAGAAAGGAAAAGTAAAGAAGAGAGTTTTGGGGAGGAAAGTGATAGAAGGGAAGGATGGATCAAGTTCTCTTCACCCTATTCCTGTGACTGTAACCTGTTTTAACTGATCTTAATTCAAAATCTTAAACTGTTGTAACCTGTCCTAGGGCCCACTGGTAAAAGGCAGGAAGTAAATTTACTACTACTGGTGCTACTCCTTCTGTTACGACTGTCTTCCTGCTAATTGGTCCCATTTTCATGACTATGGAAGTGAGAAGTGATAGCCTGGGTTACCAGACCTGTGTTTGCGTGGCGAGTTCCCGCCCCCCCACCAGGATAAATAAAGACACGAGACACTATGGTTTAAGGTTAAATGGGCGAATTAGGCCACAACTTTATTGAATTCAGGAATGAGAGGCATTGGCTTAGGCATTGGTCCTAACGACTATCCGGCTCCAGCCCATTTGCTGGAGACACGGGGAAGGGTTAACACTATATCGGGGGAGTCTCCCGCCGAGGCATGTCGACTAGGAGCTCCCCCGGGTCACCGCTCGGGGGCGTGCCTTTGGCCCACACCTCCATAGGCTTCGGACAGGGCCACGCCCCCCGGAGTCCTTTAACGGACCACCCTTCGCTCACTGGGGGGAGGTGATGGCGTTCCTCCCCCCCCACATCCTCTTAAAAGAGGGTGAGCCCCCTCTGCGCTGGCCCTAAGTAGGGCAGACACGGCCGGGATTCCCCTGCTCTCGCGGGGGCTGAAACCAGCCCCCGCTCACGTGGGGGGTGGCCGTGAAGCCCGCAACCCCACCTCCTGGGCAGGCCGGAAGTGGCTTTGCTACCAATATCCAATAATGCAATGAGGATTTAAGGATATCTGCCTTGAAGCAGTGCTTTCCAAGAGGATTGCAAACTGTTCCTTTGTTACCTGATCCTTTCAGTGAGAAATGTTCTGCACACATACCTGAGACTAAATCTTGAGTCTGGTAGCCTCACCAGCTGACTGCAAACGCTTCTATGTTATATAGGGTCATACTGTTGGTGTGTGATAAGAACTGTTTGCTTTTCCAGGACTCCACCTACAGAGAGCAGCTGATTATCCCCAGTACAGGGTTACCGTTGAAAACAAAAGTTTTTGCAGCTGTTAGAGCAACAAACCTCGATGGCAGGTATGGTAAATGATATGTCTCTCCCGCTCCCACCCCCCACAACAAAATCTGTGGTCCTAGAAACACAAGCTCCTTGGCAGAAGTGACTCTTCATGTGGGGTGAAGCCAATACATCAGCTTCCTGGCAGGTGAGTCACTGTTGCTTAGGAGAGGTAAAAGGTTAAAAAAAAAATGGTAAAGGACCCCTGGACGGTTAAGTCCAATCAAAGGCGACTATGGGGTATGGCGCTCATCTCGCTTTTCAGGCTGAGGGAGCTGGCGTTTGTCCTCAGATAACTTTCCAGGTCATGTGGCCAGCATGACTAAACCACTTTTGGCGCACGGAAGACCGTGATGGAAGCCAGAGTGCCCGGAAACACCATTTATCTTTTGGCCGCAGTGGTACCTATTTATTTATTTGCACTGGTGTGCGTTTGAACTGCTAGGTTGCCAGAAGCTGGGACAGAACAATGGGAGCTCACCCTGTCGTGGGGATTTGAACCACCGACCTTCTGATCAGGAAGCCCAAGAGGCTCAGTGGTTTAGACCACAGTGCTACCCGCCCCCTTACATCTTTACCTTAGGAGAGGTAAAGCAGTGGAGAGGGTGCTGCAGTGCAAAAGCACTGGTGGAACCAATCTGGCACTCCTGGCAGGTGTACTGAGCCAGCCTCCTTGTCACCTCACTCTCCTCCTCCTTTCCCACAAAACAAGCAACAGCAAGCTGCTTCTGGGAAGCTAGCCTAGCAGTTCTGCCCTAGCTTGCAAGCTGCTTCTGCTCCCTGGGATACAAGGAGGCATGGATATATAGAGCTGTCTTACAGTAGGCTACACCATCTCTCTTGGTGTTGTCTATTCTATCTGGCAGCAGCACCCCAGGGTTTCAGATACAGATGGATTTATCTGTCCATTTTGGTTCCTCTCATTTTCTCATTTTTCCAATCTTAAATCCATCTCTCCTCATTTCCACATAAATTTGTTGTTTTTTAAAAAATCACCATGAAAATCCACCAACATTTAGATGCACATTTCTCCTAAAAATACAATTTTGTTTGCAGTTTTAACAAATAAATACATTCTGCAAACCATTTCTCCAAATATAATGCCTAGAGAGTAACAACAACAACAGTTTATTTATACACTGTCCATCAGGCTGGGTTTCCCCAGCCACTCTGGGCAGCTCACAACAGAATATTAAAAACACGATAAAACATCAAACATTAAAAACTTCCCTAAACAGAGTTGCCTTCAGACGTCTTCTAAAAGTCAGATAGTTGTTTATTTCTTTGACATCTGATGGGAGGGCATTTCACAGGGCGGATGCCCTACCAAGAAGGCCCTCTGCCTCCTTCCCTGCAGGTAGGGCTTGCTGAATGTTCCAGCTAAGTTGCAGAATGTCAGTGGTAGTTACACTCAGTGAAAAGTGCTTTTCTCTTTCCTTGAGCACAAGATGTAGCAGCCTCAAATTATAAAAGAGGCACATGTGGTTTCTGGCTAAATGATCTCATGAAGTCTGAAGTAGCCAATGAAATGATAGCAAATCAGTACCACTTCATAACTTCATGACTATAATAGCTGCACCAATTCCTAGGTGAGCCTATAGCCTCACATTAGCTATATTGTACTCATTGTTCGGTGATTTGTTGCAGTTAAGGCACCAGGATATTGCTCATCTTTTGAATCATAATGGAAGATGGTGGCACATTATCAGCCAGCACTTTCAATGCATGTATATGCATCTATATGCTGAATCTCAAGAAATGCTTAGCGGTTAATTATCTTTCATTGCACAGATGGAATGTTTTGATGGACTACTGCTATACTACTCCATCTGGAAATCCAAATGATGATCTGCGATATGATCTCTTCTTTAGGTAGATTTTCTTCTTTTTCCAAATATAGTGTTTCTCTGCCACACTACACTGTTAAAACAGATTAATATATTAAGATCAAGGATTAGGTTTAAAAAAGTTGAAGTTATATATTTTAACGTTTTATTAAATTAAAGATTGAGATTAAAAAAGTGGAAAAGAAACTGCTGGACAAATAATGTGGATTGGAATACAAAAGAGGGAGGTATGAGGAAGTCCAGAAAATAAGTAATTTAAAATTGGAAATGGAAAAGAGAGTTTGTTTTTAATTGTTATGTTTTGTGTTTTTATTGTTAAGTTTTGTATTGTTTTTTGTGTGTGTTGTTTTTCTTTTTTGTTTTCTTTAAAACCTTAATAAAAAATTATTAAAAAAAAACAGATTAATATAAAATGTATTACTTATTTTCAAAGTTTGTTTTTATATATAGAACATGTATAATGTAACTATAGTAGTGAAATAAATATTGGCTCACGTCACAAGAAACCCTATAAGAAGAATTGAAACCTAAGAAATAAGTGCACAAATATTCATGTAAATAATGACTATCATTAGCAGGTATCAACTGAGCCTATTCTACCCTACATGTTTGTTTCAATATATGCACACTAAATATATAGCCCTAAGTTTGTTTACAGGAGCCTACACAAATGTTCAAACTACCCTGGCAGTAGTTTGGTGATCAGTTGGGTGATACTGTTGACCAAGCTACAGTAGGGTGCCTCACATGTCATCAGTGATATATATATATATATATATATATAAAACACGTATATATGATGTGATAGTTTTAAAAAAGCATTTACCATAATGGCGATCCACCTGGCAGGGAATGATATTTATCTCACATTCATATGTTGGGCTGTTCCATCCAATTCTGTGGAACTATAGAGGAATATACCACAAGTTTGGCCCTCATTTCGACACTACAGTAGTACCTCCGTTTATGTAACCCTCTGTTTACATAAACTTTGGGATGTGCATGCGGCAAACCCAGAAGTATTTTATCAGGTTTCACCCCGTGCACATGAGCAGAAGCGGTCCTCAGGTTGCGGAAACCTGGGGATCTGATCAGACCTCCAGAATGGATCCCGTCCGCAAATGGAGGTACCACTGTATTTGCAAACAGTTTTTTCCTGGAAGCAAATGACAAAGAAATGTGCGCTAAGCTATACTCCACTAATGTTCCAGAAGTGGCTTTTACGTTGTGTGAAAGCTCAAATATAATGCAGAACTTAACAGTTAGGGACAAGACATGAAAACAGAATAAATTGCCATGGGAATGCAGCCTGGCAGTCTAACTTCTACGCCATGCTTTGCATGTAAACAGGTTAGCAGGAGCTAATGAAAAGATGAGGATGAGTAATTGAACAGATCTTCTTTTCAGCTAGGTATGAGGTGTAGTACAAAAGCAAATGGACTAATATGACAAGGATAAAGCATGTGTCAACTGTACATTACAATCAAGAAATGGGCTGCAAATGTAATTTAAAAAATACGGTATTCAAAAGTTGAGCCAATGTATTTAATTTATGTTTAGTTCATTAATATTTTTCTTCCATCATGAAGCTCAAGGAGTTGTACATGTGTTCCAGGTGATCTATGCAAGCACTGGCCAGAACCAGACCTGTTCTGGGGCCCTTAGACCCATGAAACCAAAGGTTTCTAACACCATTTCCCCACCATCTAGTAGTAGTCAGAATGCTTTAGTGTTTTTCTTTGAGACTCTAACCTCCTGGGAACCAGAAAACATCACTCCCGTTTCAATCTTTTCCTTCAGCTGCGACAAGGACCCTCAGACAACTATCATTGAAAATGGCAGGAGTCAAATGGGCCGGTTTTCTTTCGAGGTGTTCCGCTTCGTGAAGCACAAGAACCAGAAAATGTCCACAGTTTTTCTCCATTGTGTGACAAAGCTGTGCAGAGCTGATGATTGCCCCTTTCTTGCTCCTGTAGGTTTTGGAGTCTTTTGGTAATGCTGCAATTGGAACAAAACTTGGAATGTTTTGCACAGTGTATAGACAAGTGATTAAAACAAAACGAGCCATTGACTGTCATCCGTAACATATTAAAGCAATTGTCTCTTAGAGATGTGTTTTAAATATGGAGGCTGGGATATAATCAGCTCAAGCAGTAGTTAACTTACCTTGCTATGGCAATCCCCCCACTGCCAATGTATGGCAGAAAGGGCAGATTTGTTATGAATGATCAGGTTCACATTGTCAAGCAATCATGTAACAGCTGAAATTATAATGCAGGGAATATGTAGAGGGAATCATAGTAAAGGACAAGTTCACTTTCCCACAAGCTTGTAATGAGCAGAGCTTTTATCTAGAACAAGATCTACTGATGAGGGGGATGCAGAAATTACATACAAGAACCTGATGAATCACACCAAATGTCATACCCATTTATTTTACTTATTTCATTGTATTTATTTCCCACCCCCCCCAACAGACTTCCCCCCTCCACATTTAATCCCCACAGCAACCCTGTGAGCTAAGCTAGACTGAGAGGCAGTGACTGGCTCAAGGGCACCCAGTGAGCTTCATGGCTGAGTGGGGATTCAAATCCTGGCCTCCCAGATCTTAGTCTGACACTCTAGCCATTACAACACACTGAGTTTATCCAGAGATCAGTAAGTGGAACTGCTTGATTGATTCCCATTTTCCCCTGTGCCATTCTGACACCCTCTGAAAACCACCTGTGGTTTGGGGAACACAAAAGCATTGAAGCTGGCACAGGAGTCTTCAGGGAGAACGTGTTCAAAGTGTCTGTGTTTGCAGAAGGGCACTGCTGGGGCCAAGCCATAGTATTCTAGATATTATATTTCCACTGTTGGAGATGGTAACTTTTTGCATACCAGATGCTGGAAACGACAGGAAGGGTGAGTGCTATTGTGCTTAGGTTCTGCTTCTGGGCTTTCTGTAAGCCACTGTGAGAGCAGGACACCCATTAGATGGGCCACTGGCCTGATCTATGTTCTCAAAACCAGTCCTGAATATATAAGGAAACAAAGAGGCATGGACAAGACCCCACTCTCTTTCAGGAGTTGTAACAAAAGATTGCACGCAACAAAGTTAATAAGTACATAGTTTCTTTTCCAATACAGTTGTACCTTGGATCCTGAAGGCCTTGCGACTCGAACATTTTGGTTCCTGAACACCGCAAACCCGGAAGTGAGTGTTCCGGTTTGCAAATGTTCTTTGGAACTCGAACGTCCGACGGGGCTTCTGCGGCTTCTGATTGGCTGCAGGAGCTTCCTGCAGTCAATCAGAAGCTGTGCTTTAGTTTCTGAACATTTGGGAAGTTGAACGGACTTCTGGAACAGATTATGTTTGACTTCCAAGGTACGACTGTACGACCAAAAACAGCTTGTTTTAAAAATGTTTGATACAGGAGGAATGTACTTCTCTGTCCACTGAAATCATGATTGTTTTCATTGCCCCTCCAGATCTGCAGTAACAGGAAAAAAAGAGATGCAGCAAAGATAACCACTTGGAGCCCTCAGAGTACTTCTGGAAGTGCTGTAATCTCTGCTGGCCCCATCATTACTAGAACTGGTAGGAGTGATCATATCATTGCATGATTTCAAAAACACAACCATTTTCCTGTTTAAGGATAATTTTCCATGAGTGACATCTAATTAAGTCCTACTCATAATTTTGGTCTTGCTACTTAATCTTGACAGTTTTCCTAGTTCTGCTCAAAATGCAAAGAATTCTTGTTTATTTGTATGCATCATTATACATATAATATTGCACACTTGAAGTAACTAGCGTGTATGCAGATGCTTGCAACAATGCATATAACTGCATAAAAATATGTGGGTATTCATTAGGGCTGCCCAAGCCATTAGGGCTGATTCAGAGCCACCCCCAATAAGGTCAGCTTGCTCTGGATCAACTGCCCTATCCTGGATCCAGTGCCAAATTAGTTTTGGATCCAAATTAGTTTAATTAGTTTTTAAAAACCCAACTAATTAAACTGACCAAGAGGGTCTGTTTCGCAGGACGCTCCTTCCTAAGTGGCTTCTCTATGGGGAAGGCATATTTGTGAGCACCCTGCGCCATGCAGGATTGATGCCTCTGCTCAACAGCTGTTGCATGGAGGCACCAATCCTATATGGTGCTACTTCACAAGCAGCTTTCCTGCAGGGCTTTTCTGCACCCCACAACATCATTGTCTCTGCTCAGCATCGATCCTGTGGGGTGGGGTGTTAAGCAGGAAGCAGAATCTGTTGGTATTGGGCTTCTACCTTCACCTGGGAATATGCAGCCAGCAGTCACATAGACTTCTGCCTTTCTTGTGGGTTTTCCTGCCCGATGCCTGCACCTCCTTTCTGCCTGATGTCCCAATCCCTGACAGCCCCAGATTCCTCAGAGCCATCCAACCCAACCTGTGGCTATTTCATCCCCACTTGACTGATCTTGCCCTGGATCCCTTCATCTGGGCTCAATTTGGCTTGGGCCTCAGCCAAATCTGGTGTACAGCCCAAGTATTCATGCCCTTATGAAATTATGCTGCAGAAATAGAGTACAGCATGAGCCTGACTCTTTTACATATATTACGGGTATGATATCTATAATTTTGCAATATAAATTTACATATAATTAGCCCTTTAAAAAACAACAACTGTGCATGAGTGGCTCAGACATCGCAGGCACTCAGTGCAAGGGGCTGTCTGATGCAAGCAAACTTTGTTTGAGTTATAACTGTCAAATTCTGTTTATATGTTTGGAACACATGTTCCCTCCACCCCAAATGTCAACAACTGTTTATAATCTCTTAGCACTCCTTAAGTATGCAGCACAGCACTGATTATAAGTCCTAGTAAATTCAATGGGACTTACTTCCAAGTACACAGGGGCACTTGTATTATAACAAATGATCTAAGATTAATCTGAACAAACAAATTGATGGTGACAAACTAATAATCTCGTAAAAGTTGTTTAAAGTATCTTAGATTATGTATGAGCAGAAAGATGCTGTTCAAATAATATTTTTAAATTTACAACGTATCTATTTTTGTATTTTTGTACAGATGAGACCCCAACTAATAATTCACAGCTTGGTAAGTTGTACCAATAAGAGCAAACAACCATTATTATTATTATTATTATTATTGAGCATTTGAATGTTACACTAATGTTGTTGTTGTTGTTGTTTAGTCATTTAGTCGTGCCCGACTCTTTGTGACCCCATGGACCAGAGCACGCCAGGCCCTCCTGTCTTTCACTGCCTCCCGCAGTTTGGTCAAAGTTACACTAATAATAATAATAATAATTTATTTATACCCCACCCTTCCTGGTTCAGAAAATCGGGCTCAGGGCAGCTAACAACAAATTTAAAACACTTAATTGTAATACAGTGGTACCTCGGGTTACATACGCTTCAGTTTACATATGCTTCAGGTTACAGACTCCGCTAACCCAGAAATAGTACCTCGGGTTAAGAACTTTGCTTCAGGATGAGAACAGAAATCATGTTCCAGCGGCATGGCATCAGCAGCAGGCCCCATTAGCTAAAGTGATGCTTCGGGTTAAGAACAGTTTCAGGTTAAGAACGGACCTCCGGAACGAATTAAGTACTTAACCCGAGGTACCACTGTACAACATAGAAGCAGCATAAAATACAGTATAAAAGCATGAATGACAATAAAATTCAAAGTTCAAAAATCAATTTGGGGGAAATCCATCCAATAAGCATTAGATAGTCACCAGGGCTAGCTGTCCGAATTAGTCCTACTTGGGCCAGCAAGGAGGCCAGGGGAGAATTAGCTGTGGGGTCCCAGAGTGGGTAATCTTCATAAAAGGGGAGGGGGAGGGAAGAGAAGGGAAATAAAAGAACAGGCTGAATTCAAATTAAAGGCCAGGCGGAGTAGCTCTCTTACAGGCCCGGCAAAAGAAGGTTAAATCCTGTAGGGCCCTAATCTCATGGGACAGAGCATTCCACCAGGTCGGAGCCATCACTGAAAAGGCCCTGGCCCTGGTGGAGGATAGTCTGACTTCCTTAGGGCCCGGGACCTCTAAACTATGGTTATTCATGGACCTTAAGGTCCTCTGCGGGGCATCCCAGGAGAGGCGGTCCCGTAAATACTACTTTAATTAGACTACTGTCTGATATGTTGTGGTATTGTTATTATTTAAAGACAGAACTGAATGGTAATTGTTAATTTCTTAGGACCAGTTTCTAAAAGCTTAACAAATTCTACCCTTAAAAAAAAGGTTCGACATTTAAAAAACTAGCTGTAATTCTCCTTACACTACTGCAATGAGATATAGGTCCATATATATCAGTGCTTGTCTTCCATAGGAGGTTTTGAGACAAAGAATTACTTGAGAATGTGGTTATACTACAGCGCTTAGATAGGTGTTTAATAATCTGTCCAAAATTATGCATTTTAATTCCTGCTGATTACACGTCTGTGTATACACTATACCATAAAGCACATTCAAACAATGTTATTTCACTCAAATAATTCTGGGCAATGTAGTTTACCCCTTCATACTTAAATTCCCAGCAACCTTTAAGAAACTACAGTGTCCAGAATTCTTTGAGGGAGGAATGTGTTTTGAATGTGCTTTAAAGTTATAGTGTGTATGCAAGCTGCAGCCCCATTCACACTTTCCTAGGTGTAAGCCCCATTGAAACAGTGGAGCTTACTTTTGAGCGGATATGTGGACTCACACTTATCTCTCACCCTGGAATCAATGGGACTTAAGTGTGAATAAATGGGAATTTAAGTATCTCTGGTTGGATCAATTTCAGTGCCTGTAAAGTGATTCCCTAACACCTCCCTTTTCATTTCTTACTCCTTTGTAGGTAGTCCAAATGGATCTGCTTTCCAGCTGAATTCAGTCACCAGTGCTTTGATTTCAGGAGTAGTAATTTTAGGAATTATGAGCACATTTTTTTTCATATTTTCCCTCACCCTCCTCCACAGAAAGTGGTCCAGCAGTAGCCTAGTTTTGAACGGTGTACGAAACCCAGTTTTCAACTAGAAGGAACAAATCATTTGGATTTTCTCTGTGGGATTGCCATGAAATGTGTTCCCTTTTAAGCGTCACCAAGGCGGCATTCTGCTGCTTTCAAGTTCCAGCTATTCTTACTTATAGCCTTATAAACGCTATTGTATAGATAATAAGCAGTAAAGGTAATGATTGTTCTTTTTTCCATTCGTGTATGTGCGTGACAAAGCTATTTGACATTTTGCCAATGGGATTATTGATAACCCAAACGTTTTTAAACCTCCAAGTGGGACTGTAAAGTTTAAAAATTGCTCAAGGCAGAAACCTTTCCCAAATGGATTCAAATTATACAAACACGAGCGCTATGAAACATGCATAGTTAATGAGCTCCTTTGAAAAGGACAACCTTTATTTTTTCTCTCTTCAGTTTTTCTACAACATTATACATTTTATGCCAAACTTTTCTGTACAAAATCTGGCACTTGAAATATAGTTTTCATTACCGACTGGGCTACAAAAAGGAGTTACAAACCATTTAAAATAGTAAGTAGTTAAATTGCTTTGAAAACGCGATCAAGTGCTGCAGTGAGGTGAATTCTGCTCTGTTTCAGGGTACCTCCCCATTGAACAAAGAAATGGCCACAATGGGCACATGGCTGACTTGTGTTTAATTATATTTTGCCTATGCAAAAATGTTTTATATTGCAAATTTACGACTGAATTGAAACTGCTAATTGTTTTGTGGGATGTTTTTGGCAGTGCTGAAAAGCACCCTACTGATTTGGTGTTTTGTTCCCTGGGGTTGGGGTTTCCAGTTGCTTTGAAAACGTTCATCTATTTATTTCCATTATACTCTATTGCTCTCTCTTTGCATTGAATTGGTTTACCTTTAATGATGTCATCTCATAGCCAACTCCATCTCATAGTGGCTACATCCCATCATGATGTCATCATGTTCATCACATGATTCCTCACTGGCTACCATCACCTTTGCAAATTATCCAGGATGCATTGCCCTCACTCTGAATCGATACTGTTGGCCCTCAGTGACATCAGCAACAAGCCAGATCTGATTGGACTCTATAGAGTCATAGCATCATCCTGTTCACCGCATGACAACTGATTGTTGGAATCACCTAATCCAAGAGGGAGAAAGTAGCAGTAACAAGAGGAAAAGAATGATACTGAAGCAGCAGCAGTGATTTAGAGAAACAATGACACTGTGCTGAAAATACACTTGCAATGAAAGCATTGTTCAATAAATATTTCTGTCCCCTGCATATTTTTCACATGGAAATCTAAATCGCAGAATAACCATTGCATTTCCATGCAAACTCAAATTCTTGTTTCAGAATGTTTCAAAATCTTGTTTTTGATTTTTCATTGTTAATTAATTCAGTCCTCGTGTGAATACTGGATCAGAATTCAATTCTGATCCACAAAAGATGTAAACATCTTTACAAAAGGTGTTTCTAACTCTTAAAATAATTTTTAAAATCAAGCATAGGAACCCTAAGGAAATAAACAACTACCTGCCTTTAAAAATGATGATGAGGATAATAATAATAATTAAAAGTATGCTTCAGACTGGAAGGTACCCAGTTATTCAATCCTTAATGGACCTTATCTAGATTCAGTAAATAGTTTGGTTTTTTTTGCTTAATTCTAATTCTCTGTCTGGGATGAAGAGGACCTTCTATCTAGGACTTCAGTAACCTCTTTTAGGAATGGAATATACAGGAAGGATTGTCCGGAACTTACCACCGCTAAAGGAAAAGAAAGCAAATAATACCCAGTGTCTTCAAAAGTTTTTGAGACTTCAGGACAGTTCCATTCTGATCCTAACTATGATTATATAAAAGCGATTTTACATTTTGTATGCATGGAAAACACAAGAGGCTGCAATCCTAACCGTACTTAGGAAAAAGTACATTTTGGATTGCCATCTCTGCATGATCTTTACTGCACAATTTCTCTGTATACAAGATCATTTTTTACGGTCTGTAGAGGATTTGTTCCTTAGGAAAAGTGGAACAAATCCATAGAGTCTAGAAAACTGTGAACTTTGAAGTCTGTTTATTGCCTTGGGAAAATGACCTATTTAGCTAGCCTGAATGACTCATTAATGTATGGCCTCCTTCTTGAAGATCCCAGAACTCCACAGTGAATGCAGACATTCAACTGGTCTTTCACAGAAGGACTAGTATATTTATGATAGTGGTGACAGTTTAGGATAGCCTTCCTCAATGGGGGACACACACTCTCTCTATTTTCTTCTTACAACTCCCATACCCCTGCCCTGACCATTGACCATGCTGGCATAAAGCATCTGGAGAACCCAGGCTACTTGTGTCTTCATTAAGTGGTACCCTGCTGCATCCTTAAAATTACTGAAAAGAGTAGTTCAGGCAGCAATTGGGCTTCTGCTCGCTCCCCAGTTAGGTCATCTGTTTTCTTCCACACCTGCTGCAGAAATCAGAACTCATGATATGATGCACATCAGGTGAGACAGGAACCAGAGATAAAGACAAAGCTCATTTGTCTCATCTCTTGAGTCAGAGGCAGCTGTCAGCAGGGCCAGATCCAGGTATGATTGGTCTCTTGACAATAGGCAACCTGTGGGCCACTTCCTATATTGGTGCCCTTCCAGCTGTGGTAGGTGTCTATGAGCCGCTATTTTACATTTTCCACAATGCCCCAGAGAACCCAATGCAGCATTGCTGTGGGCGGTCTGGAAAATTTAAGGTAGTAGTTCATCGTGCTGAGGGCCCAGGCCAGGTGCCAGTACCAGTAGGCCTTGCCATTACCAACAGCTGTGTGAGGTGTCAGGTCCTGACTCCAGGCCTGGATATCAAGCTACAGGAGAATATCTGGGTTGTGAACTAACATGTCTAGCTGCAACTGCCGAACACATGTGACCATTAGTGCCATGGGCAACTTGTTACCTTTAACTGTATGAAGTGGATTCTGCCTCAGATCAACCATTTGAATGATTCCATTCTCTTTTCATTTCCTCTCAGCAACATTATATAATTGTCCTTGAGATAACTACTGCTTAGGAAAGGAAGCCTTTTAAAAGAAGAACATACATTGCCTCCTCACACCTCTAGCTCATCTAGTAAACTTCGGATGAGCGGAACCCAAGTGACTTTGTTTCTATAACCAGGTATTTAGGAGTAGCACCTTAGAGATTTCTGTGCAGCTCACCCAAATATGTAAGGGGTACTGATCATAAGTGAGGCTACATAATGGCAGAATGTATAGTGGGGTGTAGTTTGGATGCTAATTTTATCTTTCAAAAGCTAGCAGTCTGAGCAAGTCGAATGGCTGCGTATTGTACCTTTTGGGTATTGTCAAGTTTCCTGTGTTAATTTTGTCTGTCTTTTTCTGTGTGAACTTAACACAAGTGGTTAATTATCAGGGCTATATGAATATCATGACTAAATACAGTTAATAAACAACAACAACCTGTCATATCAGTTCACTTTGGACCTCTAAAATGGCCTATAAAGTTCATAAGATATCCAACCTGCTATAGAGTTGGTCTTTCATAACAACGTTGTGCATGGTTTCCTCCAGTCTTAATACCTCAGAAACATGTTTTTGCACTTCAGGGTTTAGATCTGATGACATGTAAAACATGATTGTTTAATAAAATAATTTGGAAAAAAAGTCAGAACAAAGCTTGTATGAGTCCTTTGTTGAGCATCATCATCATCATGCCACAGCTACTCTGGATGACTTCCCATAAAAGCTGGATTTTGCTACAGATCATGTTTCATCAGCAGGTCTTCACAGAGCATAAGGTAAATGCATTTGTGTAGAGCTATATTTTAGTGACAGAGCATCTGCTTTGCATGCAGAACATCCTGGCTTCACACCTCAGCATCTCCAGATATGGCTGGGAGAGACACACTTCCTGAAACCCTGCAGCACCACTGCCAGTCAGTATTGGCAATGTTGAGGTAGCTAGCTAGAGCAATGATATGGCTTTGTATAAGGCAGATGGTGGATAAATTCATTCAGTTCTCATTTAGACGAGGTGCGAGCCCTCCTGGGTGATATCATCAATTTGTCCCTTGGCACCGGGATATTCCCAGGGGAACTGAAGGAGGCAGTGGTGCGCCCGCTCTTAAAGAAAACATCATTAGATCCTTTAGATCTATCCAATTACCGCCCGGTTTCGAATCTTCCATTCCTGGGTAAGGTGATTGAGAGAGCGGTTGCTGAACAGCTTGGTAGGTTTCTGGATGAAACATCGGCTCTCGATCCATTCCAGTCCAGCTTCCGCGCTGGTCATGGGACCGAGACGGCTCTGGTTGCCCTAACAGATGATCTCCGCAGGCAGCTGGATCGAGGCGGGTCGGGGCTGCTGATTCTTCTAGACCCGTCAGCAGCCTTCGACATGGTCAATCACGAACTCCTGGACCACCGCCTTGCCGACGTGGGGATCCAGGGCACAGTCCTTCAATGGCTGCGCTCGTTTCTCTCTGGTCGGGGACAGAGGGTGGCGCTTGGGGGGGAATTGTCATCGCGCCACTCCTTGGTGTGTGGAGTGCCTCAGGGTGCGATTCTCTCTCTGATGCTTTTTAACATCGTTATGCGCCCCCTCGCCCAGCTTGTCTGGAGTTTTGGGCTGGGTTGCCATCAGTATGCCGATGACACCCAACTCTATCTATTGATGGATGGCCATCCTGACTTGGCCCCAGACACACTGACCAGATGTCTGGAAGCTGTGGCTGGATGGTTACGTGGGAGCCGGTTGAAGTTAAATCCTTCGAAGACAGAGGTCCTCTGGCTGGGACGGGGCGATATGGGATTGAGGGAGCAACTCCCATCTCTTGCGGGGGTGCAATTAGTGCCAGCATCGTCCGTTAAGAGTTTGGGTGTAATCTTCGATACCTCCCTCTCTATGGAGGCGCAGATTACAGCTATAACAAAGGCGGCATTTTTTCATCTCCGCCAAGCTAAGCAGTTGGCTCCTTATCTCTCTCGCCCTGACCTAGCCACTGTGATCCACGCGACGGTCACCTCCAGACTGGATTATTGTAACTCGCTCTACGTGGGGCTGCCCTTGAGACTGACCCAGAAACTCCAGCGGGTGCAGAATGCCGCGGCGAGACTCCTTATGGGGTCTCCGCTGCGAGATCACATTCATCCGATACTATACCAGCTGCACTGGCTCCCGGTGGAGTACAGGATCAGGTTTAAGGTGCTGGTTTTAACCTTTAAAGCCCTATACGGCCTAGGACCCTCGTACCTACGGGACCGCCTCTCCTGGTATGTCCCACAGAAGAACTTACGGTCTGCAAATAAAAACATCCTGAAGATCCCAGGCCACAGAGAGGTTAGGCTGGCCTCAACTAGAGCCAGGGCTTTCTCGGCCGCGGCTCCAATCTGGTGGAACGCTCTGTCACAAGAGACTAGGGCCCTGCGGGACCTGACATCTTTCCGCAGGGCCTGTAAGACAGAGCTGTTCCACCAGGCCTTTGGTCAGGGCACAGCCTGACCCCCTCCTCTGGCAATCTGCACAGAATCTTGCTTAATGGTTGCCATCAATTTGATTTTAATTAATTTTTATAATGAAAGGTTTTTAGAATGTTGGATTATTTTGATTGTTGTTAGCCGCCCTGAGCCCAGCTTCGGCTGGGGAGGACGGGGTATAAATAAAATTTATTATTATTATTATTATTATTATTATTATTATTTAAAGGCAAATTTACTGAATTTGTACTTTTAGAATCAATACACAAACTGAAGCACAGCCATCCTTCAAAATTTGCACTTTTCTGAATTTTGCAATGCAGTCCTCCAGTCAAGTAAGTTGCACATGCTAAAGTGTCAACAGAACTCTATATATTCGTGGCACTAGCATACAAAAACGCTTTATTTCAGGGAAAGTTGCTTTGCAAAAAATGTGAATATTAGGAAAAGTTGCACGTAACAATGTGCACATTAAGAGAAATATGCGGTAAAATGCTCACAAAATTTCATGAGGGCTTTCCCTCACCCCCAATGCCAACCGGTCTGGAAATATGGAGAACTAAATTTGAGGTTGGGGGAAAAAAGAGAAACCGAGAAAAGATGAGAGTGACAGATTTGCCCATTTCTGCCACAGCTTTTGAAAAATGCTGATGTGGTTTGTGAGGCATGGGGCCTAAGGAAGTACTCAACCCACAAACGTTGTGGAGCAGCTGAGAAGGAGGATCCACCACACCCCCCTTCCCTGAGTGAGATGTGAGGTGGCAGGTAAGGAAGGGGTGTGGCTCTGTCACTGTCATGCAGGGATATAGTTGCCACCAGCCTTGGGTGCAGCTGTGAAAATGGGGCTTGGAGAGCACAGCTGGCCAGTCAGCATCTGCCACCCCTGTGTGGTGCTAACAGAGCTGCCCCATGGCTCAGTCACCACTTCACTTCTTCCTCAGGTGCTGCCCCTTCCCCTCCTGCTATCATTTGGCACCCAAGTATTTATTGCCTCAGGTCCTGCACCTCACAAGCTATGTTAGCAGCTTCATCTCTGGGCTACCAATCTGGCACCCCTGCTTGTCGTTCAGTTCTGTACAGTTTCCTGATTTTGTTCTTGTTTTTAATTGTCCTGTTTGTTCAGCTGCTCAGAATCCCTCTTGTTCCAATTGCTTTATGTGCGCTTTGCTCGGCAAGGACTCATTAGTGAGATATTCAGCGCCTAGCTTGTTGTTCTTGTGGCTTTGATTGACTTTGTTAATTCTGCTTACAGGTGTATCTCAGACAGGCAATAATCTCTCTTTACGATGGTATGCAAATTGTTTGCTTTTTACTGCCTTCCACTGAGAAAACAACTGCGCTGTATCCTCCCCCTGGCTGTTTATAATAGATGCCCTTCCCTATTTCTCCCTGTGAGGGGGAAAATATGCCTTTCCACGATGGTATGCGTACAATCTTTTTTTTTTTATATAAGATAGTTATTGAAGTTTTCAAGATATTACAAAACACACACACACAAAAAGAAAATACAAAGTAAAAATATTTAAAAACAATTCATTCCTTCCATTACTTAACCCTCATTTGCTTAGTTCCAGGACCTCCTCACACCTCCCTTTTTTGTATTCCAGTTCAATTATTTCGTTCAGCAAATCCCTCCCCTCTTTATGTATCCTAATCATTAATCATAAAATATTGTAATTTTGGATTTTTACATATTAATAATCCATTTTTTCATATTCCTTGTAACCTTTCAGCTAAAGTTCACTTAGTTTCTATCCAACATCATTCTAGCATTCATTAATTTTACAATATTTCTGTAGATAGTCTTTAAACTTTTTCCAATCTTCTGGTATGCGTACAATCAACTTAAGCACCTACACATTTGTTGATCTGATGTCGCAGGAAAAAACTGTGCAGTGTGAGTGGCTCATAAATGTGTGAATTGTAAGTGGGAGGCAAAACATTACAATGCATATATATCTTGAGGTTTTAAGCCATATTGGATTAACCATTATGACAGTGCACAGGGTCCAAGCCACACTGGGTTAACTTTACTTTGCAAGGTGTACACCTGCTCTGCTCCACCATTACATGACATGAAAACAATGATCAGGTTCACTGCAACAGACCTACTTCTGGACTGGGACAGTAACTTCAGTGGTCATGCAACACATTACATTGAGCATGCATCTTTAAAATTTAAAAGTTTGCTGGTCTCTCCCTCCCCCTGCAAAATTGGCCTGTGAGCCCCTCATTTGGATTGGTACCATGGTGTACATTGAGGAGTTTAACTCTTTCTACCCCATACCACCACCTCTGCTGTGATTTCTCCCAGAGCTGTTTGCCACAAATAGCACTTTCAGATTAAAAAAAAAAGCAGCCAGCAATGGACTCTCTCCCTCCCTCCCTTGCTTCCTCCCTTCCCTCCTCTCTCCCCACCCAATCAAATCCTAAGAACCAGGCACACTGGCTGCCCCTGCAACTGAGGTGGCCATGTGATGCGCTCATGTTACCTGTGCACACTGTGCAAACGTCACTGCAGGATATTGAGGGCCCCCTCCTTGAATTTTTTTTGGGGGGGCCCAAGGCCCCTTGCCCCACCCTCAGTTGGTTCCTCTGATAAGAACTAAATTTAACATTTTGCCCCACTGGCAAAAGCTTAACCTGTATGATTTCCCCTATGGGCAAACAGCTGCTTCATGGTGGGGTGGGGGAAAAATAGGAATTTCAACTGAGAAAATGTGTGTGAAGGTCCCAGGTCCAACCCCTGGCATATCCACAAAGGGCAGGGAAAGATTTCTGCTGGAAACCCCAGAGAGCTGCAGCCAGTCTGTGTTGACAACACTGAGCTTAGAAAAGTGAAGACCCCAGATTACATATGGTACCTTCCTATGTTCATATGACAGCAATTTTGTTTATTTACCGTATTGGCCTGAATATAACCTGCACCCGCAAATAAGTCACACCTTTAAAATTTGGCGGCTTGGGGAAGACTTGGGAGCCGTGGACAGGATGGGCACCATTGCCCTGTGCTGCTTCCTGGGGGTCAGGGGGAGCTGCGCCACTTTGCCAGTGGTGTAAGGTCACGAATATAAGCCACACTTTAACTTTTCACAATCAGAATTTGGGGAAAAAGTGCAGTTTATATTCAGGCCAATATGGTACTTAAGTTTGTGGGGACAGACTAGCTCAGTAGCTGAGCATTTACTTTGGACACAAAAGGTCCCAGTTTCTCTCTCTGGCTTCTTCAACTAGAAGAAACCAATAGTATAATGAAACTTATACTTGTTATAAGCCTGCTTTCTGTGTTCTATTTTCCTGTTGAAGGGGAGGGTTAAAATCCATTTCCCCCAGTGCCACAGTCTCAATCCTCTTTAGGAAGCATGCTACCACAGGCAACCAGAGAATATGTTTAAATAAATATTTGGAAGAAGAATGGTGTTTTAGCTAATGCTTTAAACTGGGCAAAGTCTTCTCACTTCATTTCTCACATATCCAGCAGTGATGTTGATTGCATTTATCACCTGATTCTCCCAGCTGGTCTCATGGGCTTCCTAGATTAGGGCAAGAGATAACAAGACTCTTGCATTTTATTTGGTAGCAAACAGAGAATAAAATATAGCATCACTAAACTATCAAATCTTTGTGACTGATACAGAGCCACAATCGGTTTGTTAACAGTCAAGCTATTTTGTTCCCGAAGCAGCATGCTTTCAAATCAATATAAGTCTGCATGAGGGAATGCTTTTTGCCACTATTGTACGTCTAATGCCAGCAAATTTACTGAGGCATCATATAACTGGAGTCATTAAGGTTAGTCTACGTAATGTCGTGGTGTCAGCAGTGCGGATGTAAGCTCACAAGCTGCTCCAAATTAGCATTGCTTATAGTGTTGTTTATGGCAGACTGTGGCTCATAATTGTGGTGTTTGAGAAAATACTTCCTTGGCAGTTGTCACACTTCACATCCAGCTGTCAGGAAAAGAAATATAATAGCATTAAAGATCAGCATTAAAAATACAATGAAAGTGTCAGGAATTTATGGACCTATAGGTAAATAAATAGTCTGAAAATTCTTGCCTTTATTCTCATAGCTGTTTGAAGGCATGAGTTTAGGGGGTTTGGGATTTCTAAAGAGTAGTCAAACGACATTCTTTTAGGGTGGGAGAGTCATTGCAGCTTCTAGATTCTAAAACTTCTTGTTTTTCCATTTACTAAAAACTCCAGCACTTGAGTGGATAAAGAACAATGAGACCTCTTCAGTTTTCATCCTCTTTGAATGCACAGACATACATGGATCACGGCTTGCTGGCCATTATATGTGCACATCTCCATGACCTCAAACGATTACTATATAGAATAGAACTCAACGGAAAACCAGAATGCTGAGAACTCCTGACTGTTACATGACATGAGCATAATGCTGGCTTTCCTTTCTTACGCAATGACCAGAATCAGAAGCAGTTTGTTGCTTATGGGGAGGGAAATGGGGAGGGGCAAGGTGAGGGAACAGGGAGGTTGGTGCAGTGCAAAAACACTGGCAGGAACATCAGGTTGCCTCCAACCACATGTTTGTACTTTGCCAACCTCCCTCTTGCCTCACACCTCCTCCTCCTGGTAAGCAACAGTGACACACCTGCCTAGAACTTAGTGTAGTGGCTCTGCACCATCCCATTAATCAATTCTGACAGTAATGCTGCAATATAGTGTATAGCAACACACACACACACACCACTATAGCAGAGGTATCCAAACTACTGCCTCCTTTTCAGAAAAAAATTACTCAGTGTCCCTGGAAATCTACCTTCTTTAAGCGAACAAACAGAAAGATGCAGTGACAAATTTGCATTCTCTTATGTGCCATTTTGTGTGTTTATTTGGAAAATAAAGCAAACACTATAACTTTAACTCTAAGTTGCATCAGTAAGCGTCATTATACAACAGATGAAACATGTACAAATGATTTTTCGAATCTTTCTTCTTTTATTTCTTTATGGTTCCACTGCCCCTTATTTTTATTCGACACCCCCAATTGCACCTGGGACTTCTACCGCCCCTGTGGATTGTTTCAGTGCCCCCCTTGGGGGGGCAGTATTGTCCACTTTGGGCAGCACTGGTCTACAGTTTTAGGTAGTTTGTTAAGATATATATTTTTCTGTGAGTGTTTAGAGGAGAAGCATGATTAGTGTTATTAGTAATTGTTATTCAGTTATTTTTTTTTTAAATAAAAAAGCATTGTGTTATTTTTACAGATGCTTTGCTGCAAACTGCCTTTTGGATTATGCAAAGGGTGGCATATAAAATCATGTAAATGAATAAATTATGCCCCATGGCAATTCTTTCCACAGATACGATAGCACCCTTAGGATGACTGGATATTGTTTTTCATTATTAGTTTATTTACTTAAAATATTTCTAGTTCATGGGGGGAATGGAGGCCTACCACTAATAACAAAATGTAGCTTGACTATTTGAAAAACAAACTAAGAAACGGTATCAATCAATAGCCTGTACTACAATCCTTAAATCAAAGGTACACTGTATTTGTTGGAATATGCATACGTTGGAAGGTATATCATATAGGGCATTTGACCTTGTCTTCCTTCTCCATACCTTTCCATTCTGTATGGATATCATTCTATGTTTCGAAAGTCTTGAGCCTCAAAGCAATGTTTGTTCTGTAAGGGCAGAAAAAAGTTTCACAACAAATTGGTTTGGAATTATTGAGTTAGTTTTTACCCTTTAGGCTGGGATCTTTATGAATGAAACAACAGTGAATGAAAGGGTGGAAAACCCTCAAAACAATCTATATCTCTGTAGAATACCATAAAAGCAAATATTGCTGTAGGGAGGAAAACCCATAAAAATCACATCAGGAGTTTCTCAGTTGTGAAATTCAATTACAGAAGGGTTTTGCTCCTGTCTACAGTGCCAATGATTTCCATAGCATCTTCTCATATAAAAGGCTGGAAAGGGGAATCATTAGTAGGTTTTGCATTGCATTATGGTGTGTTAGCAAATAGTAGCAGAGCCTAACCATACAATTCAAGGCCATCTATAGAATTGGTTTGCAGAATTTCTAAGCAGCCCCCTAACATAAGTGAGAGCATCACATACAGACCATTCTTCAGTTGTCTAATAGAAGGAATATATTTTTTGTGTCAAGAACAGGGAGTTAAGGTAAAGGAAATGATCAGTAATATACTGGCCACCCAATCTCTGCCAAGTGGTAGCAAGATTCCAGGGGTCTTGGCAGTTCCCCAGGGTTGTGTTGAGAAATCAAGGCACAATAGAGACTAGTGTCTTTCTAAAATATGGGGAGGAACTCCACCCCACTCCTTGTCTCCTGAGGAAGCTGGCTTGACTTCAAACCCCACATATACTATTTCCAGAAAATATGGGGAGAACCTGGCACTCAGGAATTTTAGGGGATCCTTGCCCCCTGAAAACCCACATCAATACTGTAAAACTAAGTTGGGGGTGAAACCTTTCTTTTGGTTAATCTAGCTATTGCTGGAGCGGGTGTATCTGAACAAATCTAAGAAGAAGCACACCGTTTGTACAAATCTGAGGGTTTTATATATATTAAAAAGAATTGTGTACTTTGTTTCTTCAAAATTGAGCCTGGCCCATGTGCTGCCTTCCTGAGAAGCCACCAACTGGTCCATGCGACCAAACTTCAGGCAAGATCTGTAGTGATTGCTGTTAGGTTGAAACCAGTGGCAATGTTTAATAGCATGAGTTGTGTTTTTGTGTGCTTAATGACAATCTCTCACCCGGCTGAAGGTGCTATGTGAGTGGCAAGAAATTGTTTTGCTATTTAAAATAAAAATCCCCAAACCTGAGAGAAACTTCTATTTCACTGTTGTTGACACACTGTGAGACTTTTGAATGACTGTGATGGGAAGTGTCCCCAGAGGTGGTTAAGATGTCTGGGGAATGATTCCAGCTGAGAGAAACTTAGGGCTGGCCACAACGATCAGATGTGAAAAGCTGGAGCTGGGCTCATTCTGGAGTGGTGCACCAACACAACACTGGTGTGTTTTGTTTTGAGTGCAAATTTGGATTAAGGGGAAGTGGTGGCTGCGGTGTCATATATATTTTTTGGACTCTTCAGGACAAAGAGGTTTATACCTGAAGAGATGTTTTGTTCTGTGCATTTCACATACCCTTAAACATTCCTCAGCTGAAAATATGGACATATTCTACATCAGTGTCCCCTCTCCCACCCCGTGCCTCCTCCTCAGAGGCTGGGGCAGGGACACAGATGCAGAACAAAGGAAACTGGAGCCAGGCAACCATAATGGATGCTCTTCGGCGTCCACAAATGCTCAGTGCCCCTAGTAGCCATGGCAACAGCCTCACAGACAGGCTATGCCCCAACCACTCTGCCACCCACCACTTTATGGGAGACTTTATGTGAGTGCAATCCTAAACATGTCAGCCCACTGAGCTCAATATTTCTAGGTTAGTGTGTACAGGATTGCAGCAACACTTTTCAAGTATTCACAGCCTAAAAACCATGGAAATGCAAGCATATAAACAAACTGAGTGGGGAAGAGCATATCCTCAGCCTAAAAGCTGTGGTGTGCTCCATATGCATTTTGTTGGTGAGGAAACATGGATTTGCATGTTTTTTTCTCCATAAAAAAGAACCACAAAGTGTTTCATAGCACAAATGCTTTCCCTATAGTTTTGGTTATTTTAATTTTTTAAAATCCACTCGGTATGTTATTCTGATGTTTCCAGGTGGAAATACCAGGTATCATGTAAGTAAATCAAAAGTTTTATTTGAAGAGAGATATCTTCTAGGTGACACTCCTGTTGTTTCTTATAACAATAAACTATTGCTAGATAATTGAGAGTCAATATTGTTTTCATGAAAAGCCATTGATGTTTTTCTGGAAATAGCTTCTCTTCATTCTCTCCCCTCCTCCCTGCTGGGTCTGGAGAGTTTCCTTTTATTATCAGAGACCTGCTGATGATTGATTCTTGGAACTCAAAAGTGACATTTGAATAGTCTCAGCTTCTCTGACCTATTTCCCATAATTGCCTGATAAGGTATACCACAATGGTTTCTGCTTCGGAACAACTATATCTGAAAAAGGTGGTGTTTTTTTGTTTTTATCAAGGGGACTTTAATCTCGCTTCTGCCGGTTGGCAGCTGTGTTTTACTTAAAACTTGAAAGGGAAAATTTACTTCATTGCAAGCCAATCCTGACATTATTCAGGAGTAAGTACTACCGATTTGAATGAGACTTGCTTCAAAGTAAATACCTGTTGTCTCCATTAATCAAAATATATCACGGTTGCAAGGGTAGCCACTCTTTGCTTGGACATTATTGCAATACATTCACTAGCTATATATCCATATATATAGTGTAGGTTATGGCAGTTAGGCCTTGGGTTGAATAGCGGTGGATCTACACACAGGAAAAAATGCTATAAATAAGTCATAAATTAAATCATTATAACCAAAGGGGGGAAAACCCCTATGTAAAATCTCATAGAAAAATTTTGTGCTCCACAGCACCATCTGGTGTTGCATGTTTATAACACATTTGAAATGCTGTTTTTTGACTTATGCAGCTGAGTCCTAGGAATTGTTTGGGTGAACTCTGGTTGGACTTTGGGTGCTTCTCATCTGGTTGTCCTTTTTCATTTGCTCTTAACTGGATTGGCTTTTGGCAAGTTTAGGCTTTTCAGTTTGGCTGCCAGTTCTTGTCATTCATGGCTGACAGAATTTCTTCTTCATCCTATTAATAAATACAACCTTTTCACCAATTCCAATCTTGTCTTCAATCCATGTATGGGACAGTTCATTTCAGAATTCACAAAAATTAAATTCTTCAAGCACCCTTACATGAAGCATGTGATATCATTTTGCATGGTCTGATTTTCTAACATGGCTACTTCAGGATAATGAGAACAATAATGTGAGACTAATGAGTAATATTTGCCAGACACAAACTTTGTACAATGTTCCAACTTGCCATAGCTGATGAACATGGACTCTTTCCATTGTCCAACCTGCTGTTTTGGTATGTGTTCCTTCTTAAAAGTGTGCAGATCTATCCAATATGGGACTTACTTGACTCTTAAACTTTTTTGTATCAGATGCTGGTTATGTATTCTCTGAAAAATGCCATTTTGCAGAAGTTCTGCACTATCAGTCTATATCTATTCAACAACATCTCATCAATTACGGGTAGCTGTGCTTTAAATTGAAAATATGGGACAGGCACCCAGTGCACTAGCCTTTGGTAATATATTTGATTGCTTGCTGCAGAATGATGTCATTTGTTTTGACTTCTGACACATTTTCTCCAAATACTGGGCAGCTTTTCTTTATCAAAGTTGACATGGGTAATATCAAATTCCCCATCATTTTCTCTGACAGTACTGTCAAGTGCCCTGGATAATGTGTCTCTCAGATCTTTTCCTGGCCTGTACTCAACAGTTAAGCCATATAACCGAAGTTGGAAAATGAATTTGTGGATCCTAGGGGACGACATCTGCCAGCCCTATCATTGCAACAGATAACAGAAGCTTATCAGTTTCTGCAACATCTGCCCTTGCATAGATGAGCACATGACAATTTTTGCACAGATATGCCAAGGCCAAAGCTTCCTTTTCTATCATTTGTGTTGGCGGCGTTTTGTGAGAGCTCTAGAAGCACACACAACCAGTCTCCAAAATTTGTTGTTATTTTTGCAACAGTGTTGTTAAAATTCCCTCTTTTGAGGAAGAGGTTGACAATTTGGTTTATCTTTTATTATCAAAATTAATTTAGTCTAGTGATTGTTTTGATTGAATGATTGATTGATTGATTTATCGATCTATTTGTGGCCCATTTTCAGTGTCTTTTTCCTAGGTATAGACTGCTTAGACTGGGGTCTGAAGTTTCCTGTGTGACCAGCTGTTTGATATCAGCTTCAGTCAGTCAGTGATGAAACCCTGGCAACATCTGATTTTACACTGGCCCATCATGGCCATGCCTGGGGGTGGTGTGTTGGTGGCGGACCTGAGACCTGGCTTCACTCAGGTGCCTCTCCTGGGCAACAATCTCATCTGCAGCATCGGAGGCATGAAATACTAACACAAATGTGCTCACACAACACATTTAAATCTCTATCGGGCTCACGTGTTTATTCTCACCATGATTTGAATCCAGCTGCCAGCTCTTATTCTTCTGTTCTCAATAGAAAAATGATTCTGCTTTACATTTTGGGAATCACTTTGATAGCAAAATAGTTGTCAGTGAAGCTTCCCTTTTGAGCCAAATATTGCTAAGTAGCTCTGATAAAAGTTTGGGCATAGTTTTCCTCAGTTTTCCTCCAGCAAAATGTTCATTTGCCTGTTATCAAGGAGGAATAAATGAGGCATTACCATAATAATTTTTTCTCATTGAAATAAAGACTGATCTCATTAAGGTATGTTTCCACAGAAATAAGCTAGGCACTAGCAATGATCTATTTTACCCACAAAAGAAAACAAAACAAAACTGCCTCTTAAAAAAACACATTTCCATTTGTACTCAACTATTTTAAGAAAGCAAAAATCAATGTAGTTTAAAGCATTTTTGTTTGCAAATTAAACTCCCATAGAATCAGGTTAATTGAAAAATGTTTATTTGCTAAGAGGCTGTAAAATTAAAGTAGAAAAGTGATCAATGTTCAGAAATGGCACCTCATTTTTACTGAGCCTGTCAGTAAAATCAAATAAGGAGTTTGCACCTAAGACACACCCAAAGTGACTTTAGTCTAGAAGTGTCTGCCTAAAGCCAATATAATGACTTGCAAATCCATTAAAGGTTTAAGTCCTGTTCATTCATCCAAAAGGATGCTGTTGGTGTCAAGTGTGCTCTGGGGAAGTAGGGGCACACATATGAGTTTCACTCCCAACATCCTCCTCTGCCACATGCTTCTCTGGGTATTGAAAGTGTGAGCCAGTTTAGCATAGTGATTAGAGTGTCAGACTACGACCTGGGAGAGCAGGGTTCAAATCCCCACTGGGCCACAGAGCTCACTGGGTGAGATGTTGTTTGCAGATGACACAGCCTTGAAGCACGCTTTAGGGAAACTCGACAGAGAGTCATCAACCATTTTGCCTAAACTGGAGTTTGGCCTGACCACCAGCCCAACAGAAGCCGGCATCCTGGGTCAGGACATCACCAGCACTCCACATATCAGCATTGGTGACCATACGTTTGAGGTGGTAGACGATTTTGTCTGCTTGGCTCCACCATTACCAGCAACCTTTCTATTGATGCTGAGCTGGGCAAGCGCACAGGTAAGGCAACTACAGCAAAGGCTGGCCTCTCCAAAAGGGTTTGGGAGAATGGTGCTAACTACCAATGCCAATATGAAGGTCTACCAGGCTTGAGCATGCTGCTTTATGTGAGTCATGGGCAACTTACACCTGCCAGGAGTGACACCTCAGTGCCTTCCATATGCACTGTGTCAGGAAGGCTTTGGGCATCACATGGCAGGACAAAGTCTCAAACAAAGATGTGCTCTTCCAAGCCCACATTCCCAGCAACATCTACACTGGCTTGGTCATGTAAACAAGAATGGAAGATAGTAGGATCGGGAAATGTTTAATGGCTAATGTTTTACCATTTTTTATGTGCTGTAAGCCACCCAGAGTGGATGGGGAAACCCAGCCTGATGGGTGGGGTATAAATAATAAAATTATTATTAATAATTATTATTTAGGATCTTCAAGGGTGTGCTCTAATGGAAGCTGGCTTCAGGCACCAAGCCCATTAGCAGATCAACCCTGGCCCTGTAGGCAAACATGATATGCAGGCTGGCAACATTAAGCCCACTCAGTGGGAATCCCTTGCAAACAACCACAGTGGCTGAAGATAGGTAGTCAGGTCATGTATCCACAGCAGTGACTAGAGGAGAAAGGACTGTTGGGAGGAGGGCATGGTGCCTTTGAAGCAGTGAATCTGGACACCTTCATCTGCCCCAGCTGCCACAAAACATGTCTCTCCTGTATTGGTCTCTACAGCCGCAGCAGGCACTGTAACTCTCCAATGGTTTGACTTTACCCCCAATGGCACATTCTTCCATTGTCTCTTGATACAGACAGATGCCAACAATTAGATGGTAGGAAGAGAGCTGCCTTATATCGAGTCAGATCTTTGGTCCATCTAGCTTAGTATTGTCTACACAGACTAGCAACAGCTCTCTGGGATTTCAGACAGGAGCCTCTCCCAACCCTAAAGGTAAAGGTAAAGGGACCCCTGACCATTAGGTCCAGTCGTGGCCGACTCTGGGGTTGCGGCGTTCATCTCGCTTTATTGGCCAAGGGAGCCGGCGTACAGCTTCCGGGTCATGTGGCCAGCATGACTAAGCCGCTTCTCGTGAACCAGAGCAGCACACAGAAATGCCGTTTATCTTCCCGCCGGAGCAGTTACTATTTATCTACTTGCACTTTGATGTGCTTTCGAACTGCTAGGTGGGCAGGAGCAGGGACCGAGCAACGGGAGCTCATCCTGTCAAACTGACGACCTTCTGATTGGCAAGTCCTAGGCTCTGTGGTTTAACCCACAGCACCACCCACGTCCCTCTCCCAACCCTACCTGGGGATAATGAGGATAGAAGCTGGGACCTTTTGCTCGCAAGGCAAATGCTCTACAATTGAGCTATGGCCTTTCCATGTTACTGCAGCAGTATATGTAATCTTTTCAATATGCATTCATCCCACAAAACTTTTTTAGCATTTAGAAGCTGACTTCTGTATGGGCAGAACTGATTTTATGAGTCCTTATCATGCATTTGTCAGCCATCCAGTATTTGGGGGTGAGTATCAGGTAATAATAATGTGCACAATTTGCCCAATCCACATGGCAGAGAGCATTTTAACTTGGCAGCAGTGCTATGTGATGCACCTGAAAATAAGCAGCTGCCGTTGCAATTTCTGTAATGTCAAAAGGGCACCTTCTGCCACCTGGAACAATTTGGAATCAAGTTTGAAATCAAATATACCTTTTATTCAATGCCACTTTTCATTTAATTTACAGATGCAGGAAATGCAGAAACAGCTGTAAACATCTCTTGTGAAAATAGTGTCAAACAACACAAAATCATACTAAATGCTGAACTGCCGTGAACCTATTAAATGCATTGCTTCAGAGTGTTTTGATAGCTGCTTGGATGAATAGCTTTCCAAAGTGATTTCATCTGTCAGTGGAACGCAAGCAGCTAGCCGATAACAAGGAAGGCAGCTTACCTGTTTAAAAAAATAGTATGCTGTTCAATAAAAGACCCTTGGGATACAGAACCAAGGAGAGACCTGATCATTCTCCGTGGTTTGTGGAGGAGGTATCTGCTGGTCCCCATGAATGCTGAACTACAGTGAAGAGCAGCTATTATTTTATTTTATTTTTTTATAAATAATTTTTATTGTTTTTTCTTTTTTTTAAACACAAAATATAACAACCTTTCAAATACATATCAAATACATTTGCTCCACTGAGCTTGTGACTTCCCTCCTTCCCTTCAACTGGTTTTCCAATTTCTAATAAATTGTAGGCGCATTTTAACTGCCAGTTTCTGTCCTTCAATATATATCAAGTCCCTTTTCGTCCATGATCAGATACTATTTTTGCATTACGTTACAAGATTTATTTCAGTCCTGCTAGTGTCTTCACATTTTTGCAATGATCTTTCAAGTACTCAATAAATTTACTCCATTCTCTTTGGAATTTCTGGTTGCCCTGGTTCCGGATCCTAACAGTCAGTTTGGCTAACTTTGCAGAGTCCATCATCTTCATCTGCCACTCCTCAATCGTTGGTAATTCTTTTGTCTTCCATCTTTGGGCTAACGAAGTCCTTGCTGCCGTTGCGGTGTACATAAATAGTCTTTGATCTACTTTTGCAATTTCTTCTCCCATCAACCCAAGTAAAAATGTTTCAGGTTTTTTTGGGGAGGGTATATTTTAACAAGCTATTTTTATTTCAAAGGCTCCCACCTCATATTTTGCTTGAATTGGGAATTGTGGCTTTGTTTCAGCTTTCCATGAATCCAGGGCCACAATCTGAACACAAATATTAAATGTTTTGACAGAGACAACGGTGATTTATTTTCTCTGCTGTAAATAAAATGTTTCTTAGATTAGGAAGAAGCTGTGTATGGACTGTTATTTCTACACCCACACAAGGCACACGATATTTTCGCGATACTCTGCTTGAAGCTGGGCAAAGTCCAGAGGCACAAGGAAGCGTGCTGGACATTTGAATCTCACATGTTTTCATTCATTTGTTTAAGCTTTATTAATAACCCCCATTAAAATAATGCTGGACATAGGTTGGAGAACATGAGGAGAAAGGAGCCACCATTTCCCACTTCTGCCTTGACAAGTATCATGGACCAGCCACCAGTGTAAGCTCCTTGCAGCTCACCCAGCAGTAGAAATTGGCAGGCTGGAAGGGGTGCACTGTCTATCCCTTGTAGGGGGTGTTCTGCAAACATCACACCAGCTTAAAGTCAGGTGGGAAGAACAGGGCCTGGAGCTCAAAGCAGTACTGATGAAAGAGATGAGCTCAAGTGCGGATGTGTAAGAGAGGCAAACTTGGACAAAACGTCTATACAGGAGAGATGTCCTGAGGCCGGCAAGAAGTCTCAATGCAAGAGGGAAGGCATGCAGGAATCCCTCTCAAACCCTGGGAAATGCAATTGTGTGTCAAGACCCCGAGCCCCCTGCCCTGAAGAATAATGACACATCAACACAGTATAGTAGGTTAATGGTTAATGGGCAAAATTTAGGCCACAACTTTATTGGTTATAGAATGTGAATGGTATTGGCTTAGGCATTAGAAATGAGCAACTATATCTGACTCCTGTCCACCATGCAGGGAGTCCAGTAAGGGTAAACCACCAATAGGGGGAGCCCTGCTGATGCACATCGACCTGAGCTCCCCCATGGTTCCTGATGGGGTTGTGGCATGGCCCTAGCCCCTCCGCGGGCTTCGGACAAGATCAACACCCCCGGATCCCTTTAATGGAATACCCTTCAACACGGAGGGGCAGGTTATGGCCACACCTCCCCTCCCCAAAACAGAGACATACCAATGCCTAACCGTCAAACCTTACAAAAGTTGTGACAATTGCTATGAGGTAGCTGAAAACCAAATGGCCAGTGCCAATTTGCCAAATGGGAAAATTCCTACCAGGCCCCTCAACGGCGACCAACCGCCAATGCTGAAAACCTGAAAGGAGGGAGGGAGGGAGATCCGGAAAGGCAAGCCAGAGGAAGTTCCCTGGCTCACGCTGGAATTTAAATAGACCGGGCCATGCCCCGCCCCCCCCAGCCAGCCAGATTGGCAGGCCAGGGCAATGATGTGGCCGGGACCTCCGATGACACGGGACATTCCCCACGTCCCCAAACCAGTGGGAGGCCATGTGGTCCAACTGCAACCCCACCCCACCCGGAAGCAGAGCGGATTTTTCACCTCACAGAGCAATAATTCTCAGCACCCTTGTTAAACTACAGTTCCCAGGATTCTTTGGGGGAAGTCACATGCTGCAAATGTATGTTGGGTGTGTTTTAAAATGTCTGGTGTGGATCTGCCCATAATGAGCAAGCCAGCACTATATTTGATCACTTTAGATGCTACAAGGTAATGAGAAAAGGAGACAGCCAGAAAAAGAGAGAAAGACTGGATTTTTTTTTTAAAAAAATAAAGTCAGTCAGTCGAGGCACAAAGAAGCAAATGGTGATATGGAGTTGCATATACAATAAAATCAAAACAGTCGCCCTTTTGCAATTTTGTAAGCCTTTGTTGGGGGATACAGCTGTCAGGAATGGGGTCATAAGAGCTACCAGCAATGTGTGTTCTTCTCTTTCTACGTGTTTTTTTAAATGGTTTGGGATGGGAGTGGATAATGTCTGAATGGTGCTTGGGACACTCCTGTAATGCAATGGCGGAGGAAGAGGGCTGCGGGGGGAGCGCACCGTCCCCAGCAGCACAATCCCGGTGGGGTGCCATCGTGGCTGTCCCCCCGCCTGCACTGGGTGCCACGCCCCCACAAGCAGCGTGCCACGCCCCCAGGATGAGACCACGCCCTTTCGGGTGGTGCGCCACGCCCCCGGGACGTGCACCAGCCCCAGCCCCGCCTGCTTGAAGCTCTGCCACTGCTGTAATGCAATGTTACTTCAGCCTGGGCTGATGTGAATGTCAGTGCAGGGCTGTAGGCCATGATATTGCATTGCCACAAGACTACCAACTTTTCCTTCCTTGCGATTTGGGGCTGGGTGCACAGCAAGTTCTTGGAATACACTGTAAAATAAACAAGTGTGTGAACACCAGAACTTGGCAGCTAGATATTAAAGTATCTCACAGCGTCTAGAAGAACATCCACTTTTGTTCACACAGATAACAATAATACCAATGTCTGGATGATAATCAAGCCCTAAAATGTGATTGTTAAGACAAATTCAAGGTTATGGGATATTGCATTTTAGCAGTGCTATTTTTCTAGAAAAAGAGGAGCGGGAATTCACCATGAAGGCCTCCCGGGTTCTTTTATAATGGCAATGGCGCCCATCTGAGAGATGCCAGAACTGAGTTCTGGTGAGTACCAGTTGAAAAAAAGCACTGCATTTTAGAATATACAAGGAAATAAACAACAGGAGTGGAGAGAAGTGCAAGGAATGAATACAGAAACATAAAGAAAAGTTCATTTCTAAGGATATACTGCCACCTTGCAACTTTTATATTAAGTACAGCAACTCAAGATCATTTTTGAAGGTGAGCTACCCATCAAAGAAAACATGAAGTCAACAAGAACAATGTTGTACGCATATATAATATTAAATAGCTTCCTTGGCTATCCAGACTTTCCTTTTATTAGAAACTTGATTCTCCTTTGCTTTGCACTATCCTGATAAATGTCTTAAATTAACTGTAAAATTACAGCTCAGACATTATGTTTTGGGTGTGAATATCTGTCTCTGGTAATCAAATTAAGTTTCTGGAGAATATCTGTGTTCTTCTAGTATCATACTTTGGAAAACCCCGAAGGCAATGCAATTCAAAGCAGCCTCATCATACAAAGGTTCGTAGCTGAACTCTTTATAAGCACTATGCACTTATGACGGATGAATCATGGATGAAGGTTTACTTAACACTGCCATCGTGTCTTCTTTCTCCTTACTGCTACAACAGATATGTGTACAGTTCAAGACACGGTCGTTCCCATTTCACATAAAATTAAAATCTAACCCTAGACTTCAGGTGGCCAATATTACAGGTACTTAACCTTTCTACGGAATTTTTTCTATTTCATATCAGGCAGGCTTGGAAGTTTCAAAGTTTTTAGCTTTGTTTACAAAATTCAAGTAAAATAAAGATGCTAAATTAAAGCACTCCAATTCAACCATGTTTAATGCAAATTACCCAAATCTGCATAAATATTTTCCCTCCCTAGAAAACCCACTTCACTGGGTGGAGCACATAGGTAGCATGCAGGAATCCTGGGTTCCGTCTCTAGTATCTCCTGGTAGGCCTGGAAAAGACTACTCTTTGAAACTCTGGAGACCCACTGCCAATCAATGAATGGTCCAATCATCTGACTCAATATAAGACACAGTAGTACCTCAGGAGTGTGGGTTCGAGTGGGCAGGGTTAGGGTTAGGGTTGGGCAGGGTATAAATAAATTATTATTATTATTATTATTATTATTATTTTATCACATTGGGCAAAAAGATTGCTGCATTGCAGGGTGTTGGACTAGAATCATAGAATCATAGAATCACAGAGTTGGAAGAGACCACAAGGGCCATCGAGTCCAACCCCCTGCCAAGCAGGAAACACCATCAGAGCACTCCTGACATATGGTTGTCAAGCCTCTGCTTAAAGACCTCCAAAGAAGGAGACTCCACCACACTCCTTGGCAGCAAATTTCACTGTCGAACAGCTCTTACTGTCAGGAAGTTCTTCCTAGATGGTGCTTGTGGTCCCTTCCAGCTCCACAATTCTGTGAAGCAGTGTAAATGATGAAGTTCAGTTTGCAAACTTTAAGAGAGTTCTCTTATCCTGTAGAACTGTATATCCCCCGCCAGAAACACATAGGTTCACTTTTCATTAATCTGTTCCATGCTGTGACCTTCCAAGTATGGGCATCCATCATAATATATATAATATGGCTTTTTAAAGTTTGGCCTTTGGTTTCTCCCACCTCCCAACCCAGAAGAAGAAGAAGAAGAAGAAGAAGAAGAAGAAGAAGAAGACGACCACTTGGCTTTTTGAAGCTGCTCTTTTACTGAACACTGTACTAAGAAAGGGAGACTTCCATACTGATGGCATGCGTTACTCTGGCCCAGTGAAGTTGAGTCTCAATGAGCCTGATTTCCATGCCAGCAAGTTAAGACCTTTTCAAAACATCTGTCCTAGAAATTCTGTCTTGCCATTTCATATTACAAATAGACTGTAGGCAGCAGCGACTGTCATCAACAAAGTAAGGGAAAATAAACTGTGAGTTTATGGTACCATCCTTTTAAATCCCTTTCAAAAGTTAAAAAGGTTAAAGGCTTTACTCCCTTTTAAAGGTTAGGTAAACTTGTACGATCGTATTTCCTTCCAAGTCAGACAAGTGGTTATGAAAAGTTTATGAGCTTTATGTTGGGTAATCATCCTCATTGTTTGCTTCAGCTGCATCCCATGTAAAATGAATTCAGCTAAATGGGCTTTTATGAGAGTCTTTTGTGGATATGTTTTCCTTTGGAATCCTCCCACCAGCTTCCTAGTGGTTTTTAAATTACAAAAGTCTCAAAATGATCATTCGGTACCCTTCCTGCTTTCCTAAACATAAAGATGAAAAGGAAACCTCGTTCTCATGTAAATGCCCTCTGAGACTAATTACACTGATTTCACTTGACTAGCACTTAGATCTGAATTATAGTCATGAATAAGTTAGATCTTAATTAAAGTCATGTATGGGGTGCAAAAGGCAATGTTAGACATGCAAAGAAGCTGCTTTGTAATAAGTAGAAATTAGTATTAATAATAATGTGTATATGAGATTTGGCTTCCAATTTGTCTTGTGTGTTGTATTATCAATTCACTCCTCTCTCTTTTTGCCACATATGCCTGGAGATTTTGTGCACCATAGCAAACCACGATCACTAACATACTCCAGATAAAGTATTGTTTATTGAAAAGAAAAGAAAAAGCAGTGAACAAAGCAAATCCATTTCTGGAACACTGGTGCTTAAAAGAAGAACAGAAAAATCTGTGGCCTTCCAGATATTGCTGAGCTGCAACTCCCATCATATTTAACCACTGGATATGTTGGCTTTGGTTGATGGGGGATATAATCCAACAAAATCTGAAGATCCATAGCTTCATCATCCCTTGTTTAAAGCATTACTTCAAGTATTCCTGGCTATCCTCTGGGACACTTTCCTTTCTGTAATCTCAGTATGGCCACATTCTCATTGTCTAGGATTGTTTTTTTCCAATTGTCCAGTTCACCGCAGCTCCCTGGTTTACTTGTTAATGAAAGACAATACAGTGGTACCTCTGGTTACAAACTTAATTTGTTCCGGAGGTCCGTTCTTAACCTGAAACTGTTCTTAACCTGATATACCACTTTAGCTAATGGGGCCTCCTGCTGTCGCTGCGCCGCCATCGCGCGATTTCTGTTCTCATCCTGAGGTAAAGTTCTTAACCCAAGGTACTACTTTCGGGTTAGCGGAGTCTGTAACCCGAGGTGTTTGTAACCTGAGGTACCACTGTACATATAGCTAAGGATATAGATCCCCTGCTTCAATTACAGGATCAATTTAGAAAAGAGAATTCCTGCATTGTAAATCTTTTTATACCATCTTTGTTAAGAAAATTCTTCACATTTTTCACAAGTGTTTAATAGACACACAGAGAGATTTTGTAAGGCTTGGTTAGTTTCAATCAAAGTGATTTATTGCAGAGGAAAAAGCAACAACTGAATAATTTTCCATATTTTTGCATCACATTATATGTTATATACTTGCCAGTTTAAATTACATACATGAGATCAGAGGAAACAATCAATCCACTCCAAGAACAATGATAATCAATATTATTGTTTAACATGTTTCTGGGTGAACACTGTACACATCCAAACCAACTTTAAATTAAAACACTGTTCCAAAGTTAAGAAGCATCTTTCCTAATGATTCTGATTAATCTGGCAGCAGGAATCTTTAAAGTTCAGTGTACTTTAAGTGAATATCAAAAAGCTTTGACTGAATAGACAATAAGTTCTTATCTACTTGATGCAGCCCCCAACATCTAGCATCCCATAACCTTTCTAAAAAGTCTGCTATTAGGTCAGATTCAATACATGGAAATGAGGAGATCACAGGACTCAATATGAACACTATATGAACATATAGCAAAGGAATACAAATATTGATTCAAAAATGTTTCTGACAGCACAATCCTATACAACTTTTTTTCAAAAGTCCTGTTATGTTCAGTGGGGCTTAACCCAAGAAAGTGGATAAAGGATGAAAGTGTGAGTTTTCCCGCACTTTAGGGGAAATATCCTGCTATTTTCCTTTAAAAAACAATGACAAACAAACCATACTATGTACCATTACTATTTTGACAGTTGCTATGAATCAATATTTTTTTTTAGGAATATGTTTAGTTCTAATGAATGCACGGAGCTCCTGCTGTCAGCAATAGCTTCCTCCAGCATTCAGTCCAATGGAGCTATCACAAATGCATGTGAATTAATACATACATATGGATTTACTCCAGATATTGGACTGAATGTAGCACCCTTTGTGTTGAGAGATACGTGTGCAGATTTGAGAGCCCACAGATACCTGGATTTGAAAAGTTTTTATCTCACCGTTTCCCCAAAAGAGAGTCTAAAGCTGCTTACTATCATAAAATGTGTGTGTGTCCCTGTGCACACACAAGTTGGGTTATTACTTTTTGGGGTGTGCCTTTTGTGGGGGCTGAAATGTTTGAGGGCACTCCTTGGTGAGAGGAAGCCATACCAGGGGCTGGTGGGTCTACAGTTCCACCCATCCTTGGATGATAGTCTTGGATGGGGGCTAGCAGCCTGGGTGAGAGCCAGTTTGCTATCTAGGACACTAACATATCTCTCTGATTGATGAGTGGGAATTTTATACGAGTGGTTTAATTGCATCCTGATGTTTTTGCTGCACATTTTTAATACAGTGGAAGGAGTAGCTGATGATCAAGTGGGTGATGCTGGAGTGAGTGGGAGATAATAGAGTGACTGGATACTTATAGATGATTGTAATGTGTGCAAGTGGAATGGAATGAATAGGGGATAGTGTAGGATTTGTGTAGATGACTGCAAAAAGATCAAACTGATCCATCCTGAAGGAAATCAACCCTGAGTGATCACTGGAAGGACAGATCCTGAAGCTGAGGCTCCAGTACTTTGGCCACATCATGAGAAGAGAAGACTCCCTGGAAAAGAACCTGATGTTGGGAAAGATTGAGGGCACAAGGAGAAGGGGACAACAGAGGACAAGATGGTTGGACAGTGTTCTCAAAACTACCAGCATGAGTTTGACCAAACTGCGGGAGGCAGTGGAAGACAGGAGTGCCTGGCGTGCTCTGGTCCATGGGGTCACGAAGAGTCGGACACGACTAAACGACTAAACAACAACAACAAAGACAGAATTTGAGAGTGAAGTGTTAGTGCAGTTATTGTTGTGTACTGAAAGCCAGGCTGTTACTCGGTAAGAGGGAATCCTTGACTCCTAAGATGTTTTCTAAATACGCTGTTGTGTTTTTGCTTTTTATTATTTTAAATTTCATTGTTATTATAGCTTTGCATTACATTGCACTGCAGTTGTTTTTACATATATAGTACATACATGGTCTGAGATAATGTAAATCACTTAGTTTTTAGTAGTAAGCAGGATATAAGTATATGAAACAGACAATACACGATTCTGATTTGCCAGATTGAGAAGACCCTTCTGTCGATCTGAAGTGCTTCTTAGGCTTCCACACTTGGTTTGGCATCTGTCTTTGCTTTATTTCCTTCCACTCCCATTTCACTATTGGGAAATCAACACATTTTGCTGCTAAGGGTGGTTGTGATGGAATGTTCAATGTATGGCACGCCTGTGAGAGAGTGGCTGAATATATTGCTCTCTCTTGTCAAAAAGGACTCCAAAACCTAATACTATTGTTGGGAAGCGTCTGCCTTGGGAGACTATGGGACAGTGTGCCTTCATAGGTAAAGTCAAATCATTAGAGAGTTAAGCAACTGCTGTGGCTGTAGAGATTGATATGGGAAAGACATGTTTTATTGCAGCTGGGGCAGATGAAGGTGTCCGGTTTTTGCTGCTACAGGTGCACTACGGCGTTTGTTTTCTCTTTGCTCCTCCCAGCAGTCATTCCTCCTCTGGTCACTGCCATGGGTACACAGCCAGACTTATTGTCTCCAGGCACTGCAGTCATCTGCAAGGGAGTCCCACACAGTGGGCTTAATGCTGCCAGCCTTTATGTCACATTTGCAGACATCTTTTTAATGCAACAGGTCTATGAAGGTTTTGTATGAGTGGGATCTCTGCCCTCAGCATTTCTCCTGCATTTGGCACAGCGAGGAAATCATGTTGACCTCTGAGCTCTAAAGCCTCATATACTGAGGACCAAACTAGGTATTTATAGGTGCTGGCACCCGTCTGTCTCAAGACTCAATGGAGTGCACCTCCAGGGGTGAAATCAAACCATGGCAATAGCAGCACCGAAGTGATCTTCCGCCACCATGCTGCAATTAGCTTTCAAAAAGAAAAGCTGCCATTGGCACTGATGGGAGCTTTTTTCCAAGTAATTATAGTGTCTGAGAGAGAGATTTTTGTCAGGATCGTGGCTGGGAGCGAAAGGTTAAACCTCCCCTCCCTTTGTGCCGTAGTCCCAATGAAATCACCCCCATGATTTTTAAATTGCTAAGTGCACCACTGGCGTAACAGCTAGTTTGACCACGAAGCAGCTGCCTATATATATCTCTATGACATGTGAAGTTGTCCACAGGGTTTAGTCCTCCCAATAGTTATTTTCACCTCCAGCCTGAGATTATTACCCCCCTTTTAGTTTTGATGTTCTTGCTTCACAGTTTGAAACATCCTTATGAATGAGGTGGAGGGGGAACCTGCATAGCGTTAGATAAGATGCATTCAGGCATAGTGGCAGCTGGAATTCCATAAATGACTGCCTGTCACATTGATGGATAGACTATGATAGGTTGTAGTCAGTAAAGCCCCATGATCTGCCTATTGCCATTCACAATGAATTACTGTTCCTAGATCCAGAGCCACTTAAAGGATTAGGAATATTATATGCCACAAACAGGTGCTGCTGTGTGCTTAAGAAATAATGTGAAAAGATTTTGAATTTATCAGGAGGGAGAATATGTTAAGTATATCTAGTAATCCTTTGTGTACAGTGGAAGTGGAG